AGTTCTAGGCCAGCCTGAGATATAATGTGAGTTCCATGACAGCCAAGGTTACACAGAGAAACCCGCCTCAAAAAAAAAATAAAAAAATAAAATAAAATAAGAAAAATAAATAAAAATAAAACCCCAAAGACTCCAAATTGCCAAATGAAGCTGTGCACCTCACACACCAATGACTTCAAAGGATAGTACAAAGCTATGGTAATCAAAACAGCATGATCCCAGCATTAAAAACAGTTATGTAGACCACTAGAATAGAACAAGAAGAGCAGAAATAAATCCACTTATGATAAACTTATTATTTGGAAAACTCTAGAGAAAGATAGTATGTTCAATGAATGTTATGGGAGAAACTGAATACCCATTTGTACAAGAATCAAATTAGATTCATATCTCACACTCTATTAAGAATCAACTCAAATTGAATTACATATCTGTGATGATTTGAAAGAAAATGGCCCCCAGGGAGTGGCATTATTAGGAGGTGTGGCTTTGTTGAAGGAAATGTGTCACTGTGGAGGAGGGCTTTGAGGTCTTTTGCTTAAGCTTCACTCCATGTGACAGATGACTTCCTGTTGCCTATAAGATGGAGGACGCTCAGGAACAAGTCCAGCACCATGTCTGCCTGCACTCCGCCGTGCTCCCTGTTATGATGATGGATGGACTGCACAGCTGAAGCTGTAAGGCAGCCACCCCAATTAGATGTTTCCTTTATGAGTTGCCATGGTGATATCTCCTCATAGCAATAAAAAACTCCAACTAAGACAATATCTAAGTGTAAGACCTGAAAATGCAAATTAGAAGAAAACAGAATCAAAAAGCCTCAGGTCACTGACCTGGGCAGTGATTTTTATTTTTATCTTGTATAACCCAAAGTTTAGGGAGGAAAGGCAAAACAGACAAGTAGGATTATATAAAAGTAAAATGCTCTGAAAAGTTAGAAAAACAACACCGAAGAGACAACCTAGGGAATGACAGAGGATATTTACAAACCATACATCTGCCAAGACACCATTATCCAACGTTTACAGAGAACTCAACAGTGAAAAGCACTAAGAATGTTATAAACCGAAGAAAGGGTAGGAAAAAACAAACACTCCTGAGTCATATAAAAAGATAAGCATCGGGTAGCCATCTTTCAGTAACTCGCCAAAATGACAAACACAAAGGGAAAGAGGAGGGGCACTCGCTATATGTTCTCTAGGCCCTTTAGGAAACATGGAGTTGTTCCTTTGGCCACGTACATGCGAATCTACAAGAAGGGTGATATTGTAGACATCAAGGGAATGGGCACTGTTCAAAAAGGAATGCCCCATAAATGTTACCATGGCAAAACCGGAAGAGTCTACAATGTCACCCAGCATGCTGTGGGCATCATTGTAAACAAGCAAGTTAAGGGCAAGATTCTTGCCAAGAGAATGTGCGGATTGAACACATCAAGCACTCAAAGAGCAGAGACAGCTTCCTGAAGCGGGTGAAGGAGAACGACCAGAAGAAAAAGGAAGCCAAAGAGAAGGGCACCTGGGTTCAGCTGAAGCGCCAGCCTGCTCCACCCAGAGAAGCACACTTTGTGAGGACTAATGGGAAGGAGCCTGAGCTGCTGGAGCCCATTCCCTACGAATTCATGGCCTGATGTAAAAAAAGAAATAAAAGACCTGGACTATAAAAAAAAAAAAAGATAAGCATCACTAGTTATCCGAAAAGAATAAATTAAGGTCACACAGAGGTACCCCAGCCTCACATCCGTCTGAATGGCTATTACTATCACAAGTTTTGACAAGGGAGGGAGGAAATGAGCATTCGCGCATATTGCTGGTGGGAGCAGACACTGGGGCAGCCATTATGAAAAACAATATTCAGGCTCCTCAGAACATAGAAACTCCACATGATTCAGTGACTCTGCTTTAGTGTATGTGCACAAAAGAAATGAGTGTGTCAAACAGACAGATACATGCACCTCTATTTTCAGTGTAGCATGTCCCGCGGCAGTTAAGATGAATAAGTAACCCAAGTACCTGTCACTGGAGGAATGGGTAAAGGAAGATGTGGCATATTTGCATAGCAAAGTACTATTCATTCTCAAAAAAGAAAGATGAAAGAAAAATAATAGGTTGGAGTGATAGTCCAGGCCCCGAGTTGATCCCCAGAACACACATAACAAAGACAGTCATGGTGGTGGGAAGTGAAGACAGGCCGGTTCCTGGGCTCTCTCCACGGTCAGCATCGCTTCCCTGGTGAGCTCCAGACCAATGGGAGACCTTGTCTCAAAAACAAGGCATGTGGCAACTGAGGAACATCTGAGTCTGATCTGTGGCCTCCATGAGTCCGGGCACACACGTGGGCATGCCCCCGCATGACTTTGAAAAACAATAAATACAAATCCAAAAAGAAGTAAGTATCATTTGTGGTAACATACGTAACCTGTATTCAGTGAACATTTTATTAAGTGAAATACACCAGAAAGAAAAATCCTGTAAGAGCTCATGTGTAGAAAAAGAGTTAATCTTAGGAGAAGAGAGTAGAAAAGTGGTTGTTAGGGGATGGGGATCAGAGGTAAGTAAGAGGGAAATACAAAACAAACAGCAAATGCTCAGGAAGTCATGGAAGCATGGCACCCCCCCCCCACGCGTTTTCATGGGGCTCCTATTGGCCAAATCAGGGGCAACTTCCCTAAATGGAACAGCGACAGTGCTGAATTAGGGCACAGCTGAAAGACAAAGAGAAGCTGACATTGATAAGGAAAAGCAATGGCTTTTCAGCAAAGTGTAAGTAATTACAACGTATACATGCATGTGGCTCTATATATATTCCAGCTCAGCAAGAATAAGTCCTTGCATGGGCATTCATGGGGGGGGGATAGTTACAGACATTCACAGAATGACTTTACAGATGAAATCCACCTGGAATTAATTTTTGATGTCTAGTATGAGGTAAGAACCTAACCCGGTTTCTTTCCCCCAAAGAGAAATCAAAATTTCCACAGATGTTAAAGTGCACGCTTGTTGTAAGGAGACTGCTGGTTAGTTCCTGGCCGCTCAGCCCCGAAATAATCACACAGAAACTGTAGTAATTAAATCACTGCTTGTCCCATTAGCTCTGGCCTTTTATTGGCGTACTCTTACATATTAATTTAACCCATCTCCATTAATCTGTGTATCACCATGAGGTAGTGATCTGCCAGCAACGTTTCAGTGTGTCTGTCTCCAAGGAGGCTCCACAGCTTTTCTTTGACTCCACCTTCTCTTTCCCAGCATTCACTTTAGTTTTCCCCGCCTAGTTCTGTTCCCCTATAGCTCTGCTATAGGCCCAAAGCAGTTCCTTTATTAACCAATGATATTCACAGCACACAGAGGGGAATCCCACATCACATGTTAATGTAGACACGGGAGTGGAAACTTCTGGGGAAGTCAGACAGCATATAATGGTGGCAACTTGATTCTTTCCTACCCCACACAAGAGTGGTCCAATTAATGACTCAGAAAATGTTAAGTTGAGGAACTGGAGAGATGGCTCGATATTAGAGACACATGCTGCATTTGCAGAGGACCCAAGTTTGAATCCTAGCACTCATATTTGGGGGCCCACTACCTCCTATAACTCCAACTTCCGAGGAATCGGACTCCTCCGGCCTTCCTGGTCATCTCCACAGAAGACACACACACACACACACACACACACACACACACACACACACACAGTTAAAATGGTGTTTCTTTACCAGATAAGGGGTTTGAAGAAACTTTTTTTTTTTTAAAAGGAAGATGCACGTTCATGTTTATGGGCTGAGGAAGAAGTTATCAGGAAAGATTTGGTTGAGGAGACATTGCAAGCCCCCAGGGATATAAAGCTGTAAAGAAAAAGTTATGATCTATGAAGGAGGGAGGCCGGTCCAGATAGATGTGGTTGCAGGTAGATGTGTGGTGGAGTTGGTTAGGTTAGGGGTTGCACCCACGATAGCCCATAGCATGGATAAAACTCTCCCGGAACAAGGACACCCGGGAGTGGAGAGGTACAGCAGTAATGAACCCCAAAGGCGGCGAGAGGGCGCTGAGGATACAAACCAAGGGCGGAGTTCAGGAGCGACCTGGGGTTGCAGCGGCCCCTAGCGTTTGATGATCCCTTCCAGGGCTGAAAAAAGACCAGCTGGAGAAAGATGGGTTGATATGGCAAAATTCTCCAGGAACAGGATCCCGAGACTCGAAGTCAAATAACACCACCTTCGGATTCCTTTCAAAGCTCCCCTGCAAAGCCCCACTTTTTCCAGCGAGCAGGTTTTAGCTTGTTTTCTACTTTTAATTGTACAGCACTTTTTATCAGGACAAAAATAACGGGTCATGTTCATACCAAGCTGAGAAACTCGGGGCTTGATAACTTTATCTGCAACAGGAAACCCGAATAACAAAACAAAACAAAACTGTACAGTCAACATCACTTGGGCCGGTCTCTATGCCGACTGCTTTACCAACAGTTTTACCTCATCCTCAAAAGAACAACAAACAAACAGAAACCATGGAGGGAAATGCTGCCTTTAATTAACCCGCCTTTTCCCGCCAGAGGTCGGAGGCCTTAGAGAAATAAGCCCATTTTTTTCCGAAGTCACGAGGTTGATCCAGCGGAGTCCTGAAAGTATCCTGAAAGCATTCACCTCTTTGCTTTGGGCTACTCAGGTGAATGCAGGTCCCATATCGTGGGTGCTCACAGTGTTGAACACTTACGGTAACGGCAGTTGGGCTGACGTCTGGTGCCCCGCGCGCCACCCAGTGACCCGCACGCGTGATGCTCACGTGCACTGACAGCCCCGCTTCCTTCGGGAAGGCTGAGGCCGCCTTAAATCCTCCGAGGGGGGGGGCCTAGGACGAGACTCTCTGGCTTCGATTCCTTCTGTCTGGACATCTGATCGGAAGGTCCGGAGGGCGGGGAAGAGTGGGCGGAGTCTGCACGCAGGAACGGTTGTGGATTGGCTGGGACGGAGATTGGGCGGAGCCTTGCGGCGGTGGGCGGAAGCGAGAAGCCGCAGCTACCGCGTAAACCTCTCGACTTCTCCGAGCCACCGCCGGCCGCCTGGGAAAGCCGGCGTTGCTCTCGGCGGCCGCTTCGGGCGCAGCAGGGTGAAGCGGAGGCCGGGGTGGCGGGAGGCCGGCGGGGCCGGGGCGGGAGGCGAAGGTAAGGGAGGCGTCGCGGCGTGGGCCGGCGGGGCCCGCAGTGGGAGCAAGGCCGGCGTGGATCGCCGAGCGCGGCGGGAGGGATGGCGAGGGCCCGAGGCTCTGCGGCCGAGGCTCGGCCAGGGGAGCGCGGAAGACCCGACGGGGACCGACTGGCTCCTGAATACCTGCTGGCCCTGTGTGGTGGCACAGGACGGGAGCTGGCTGGGCACCTCCCGCAGAGGCTTTCTTGACACGCTGAAAGTTCTCTTGCCCCTCTGTTTCCCTGATGCACGAACTTATTTCGGAGGGGGACCGCCTTCCCTTCCTCAGCCTGAGAGCTCAGTCTCAGAGGTGCAGCTCTAGGCTGGAAAAGAAAGTTCTGACCCGCAGAAACCATTCCAAACTTGGCGTGTGTCCATCAGATTAAACGCTGACTTTTGAGGCTTTCTCACTTCAACTTTGCCTTTTTTGAGGAAAGAGACTTGATTTCCCAACAGTCAATCTCCCTTTCCCAAGAAAGGATAAAAATCAAACTCGATGGATGCATTTAGGAATTTAGGGGCTTCTGCCCTATTTATGTTCTTAAGACATTCAGGGAAGGTGCAGATTCTGTACAAAGCAGGGCATTGCTGTGTACCTTGTGTGTTATGTGTTAAATGATAAAGGTTGATCATTCGGTGCGCCCTGTGTTGGTATATTGACGGTAGAGGTAGGCGCATAGCAATTCACACCATCCTCTTTCCCATTTATTTGAATCCTTTCCAGTATTCCCACTCCCCCCCCCCCCTAAAGACGGAGGGAGGGATTCTTAGTTTTTTACTTTCTCTTAGGTTCAGGCTTGTGACAAAGACAAAGGTCAGGCCTCTTTTTTTTTTTTTTTTTTTTTTTTGAGAAGCAAGACTAATTTCCTGAGTTTTTTTCCCTCCTATTTTTTGGGATTTCTTTAGTGTTTCTGTTGTGCTCAGGTCAAAAATAAACAGTTCTCCCCCCCCCCCCCAGCCTGCCCTAGAACTCACTCTGTAGATAGACCAGGCTGGCCTCAAATTCTCAGAGATCTGCCTGCCTCTGCTTCCCCAGTGCTGGGATTAAAGTTGTGCCACCACTGCTCGGCCCCAAAACCCTTTCTCCATGGAAGTGAACATTGCTTGTCCTGCCCTGATAATGTTTGAGAGTTGTACTTAAGAAAAAAACTGACCCTAGAAAACGACTAGGGTGACACTTGGATTTTCTACTGAAGTTTTCATATGGGCTGATGAATCAAGTTATTTTCTACACTTTAATAGTGGACTAGTTTTCTGGTTTGCTTCACCAAGATACTGTGTAGCGAGTCTCTCCTTGGAAAAGAAAGAGACAAACAGTTTTTGACATTGCAGAAGTTGTTGGATAAGTAGGTTAATATTTCTAATTATGCATGCAGAAAGAGCCATGCTTTACAGCATAAATAGTTATTATGCTGCTAAAAATCAGTTGTAATTTTTTTGGCTGCTGGTGGCATGTAATTACTGAGATTAACTCTATGTGATTGTATTTATGTTTTAGAGACAGCACTTGCTGTGCACTTTCATGCTTATTTTTTTACCTTCATATGTTCAAAGTGTAATGAAAGTTCTGGCTATGGATGACCTTTAGAAGTGATTCAAAGACTCCTTACACATATTGGTCACTGTGCTTTTGTTGGTACTTTTGTGGAATTGGAATAGGTTGTGTTTAGAAACTGAGGGGTTTTATTGCCATTATATCCTTCTTTCTGGTGGTCTGTAAGACGAAACAGAACAAAACCTTGAATTTTTACTTATCAGTCATCAACTTACCCGTTTATGCTGGAGCATCAATTATCGCTATAGTTTTATGTCAACTTGACACAAGCTGGAGTCTTCAGAGAGGAGGGGCCTCCATTAAGAAAATGCTTCCAGAAGATGGGCCTAAGGCAAGCCTGGAGGGCATTTTCTGAGTGATTGATGGGGAAGACACCAGTGTGGGTGATGCCATCCCTGAGCTGGTGGTCCTGAGTTCTATAAGAGAGCAGCCTGAGCAAGCCATGGTGAGCACACATGGCGAGCACAGTTCTCCCCTATGGCCTCTGCCTTAGTTCCCGCCTCTATCCTGACCACCTTTGACAGTGAACAATGATGTGGAAGCTTTCTTCCCCAAGTTACTTTGGTTATTGTTTTATCAATAGTAACCCCAACTAGACAATGCTTTGCCTTGTCTCCCAGTGGAACGTGACCTGCGAGGTTCTCCTTCCCCGTCTTTCCTCTTTTCCCTTTCTCTTATTCCCCTACTCCATTGCCTTTCTCTGCTCCTTTCTTCCCCATCCCTTCCAGTAAGCACTTGTTGCCAAAATCCCATCAAAGCCAGTGGTTTTATTTCTGCTTTTTTAAATTATCAGTGACATTACTAATCTGGGAAAATCTTGAGTATTACGAGAACACAGCTGGAATTGGAAGTCTGTGAAGAGCTGCAAACATCATTTTGGTCATTAGCAGGCTGTTGAGGATTTTGTGGCAGGACTTGGAGTATGGTCACAGTTGGTGACTGTGTCTGATCCACCCAAAGAAAGTCGTTTTACATTTGGTGTACCTCAGTTGCCACAGCTGTTAAACAGAAATAAGGCTCGCTTATGTGACTTCCAGGAGTACTGATAAAATAAAGTGAGCCGATAGACACGATTTTGAAGGAGAAGACCTGTTTTGAAGTGTGTAATGTCCACTTTTGTGCAGTGTAGATTACACAGTGTAGCATCCTAATGATTGGCACAGCAAAGGATACTTAACTTTCAGTCTAAAAGAAGGAAAAAGCCCTGGGGCTTTTCTGTGCTTTCTGGTTGGTGATTAGACTTAACTGCTTTGATCAGTCCTGTTTTTTGGTTATATACTTTTAAGAAGGTCATTACCTCAATAGCTTAGGAGTTTAGGCTGGGGGTGGGAGGAATCATAGAAATCCCAAGTTCCTGTGTCACAGGTACTGCCAAAAGCTAATTGCTCAGATTGTGTGGATGTGTCAAAAGGGGACTGATTTTTTTTTCTTGCGATACATAAGTAGAACAAGGCTCAATAGCTTGTGTTATATAAAGTCAGTTTCCCCTATAACTTTAAAAGGTATTAATTGTCCCCCCCCCCAAAAAAAATCCTTGTACAGTATGATGTAAATGATGGGAAAGTTTTTCATCTGCTCACATTTATGCCTTACCTGCAAATTTTAAATTAACTTTAATTGTAAAAATAATTAGAATGATCTCCAAAGCTACAGAGAAACCCTGTCTCAAAAAAAAAAAAATTAGAATGGTAATATTTTAAATTAGCTTGGCCACATAGTCATCATTTTTTTTAAAGGTGTTGAGGATTTTTTTCATCTAGACCGCAGTTTTTTTTTTTTAAGATCTATTTATTATGTATATAGTGTTCTCTCTGTGTGTATGCCTCCCGCCGGAAGAGGGCACCAGATTTCACATAGATGGCTGTGTGGCTGCTGGGAATTGAACCCAGGACTTCTGGAAGAGAAACCAGTGCTCTTCTTAACCTCTGAGCCAGCTCAAGTAGTATTTTTTTTAAGCCTGAGTTTGAATATGTGAAAATAGATTTGGTGTTTATTGGTACGAATTATCACACAGTTGGGCTGTGTGGATATTCGCCTCTTCTTCGGATGGCGTCTAAGGACCCTCTTTCAATCTTCCCCACTTTCTTTGTAGATTCATGCAATGGCCACAGATGATAAGAGCTCCCCGACTCTGGAGTCCGCTAGTGACCTGCCTCGCTCGCCCACTAGTCCGTCTCACCTCACCCACTTCAAACCCTTGACTCCTGACCAGGATGAGCCCCCCTTCAAGTCAGCGTACAGTTCTTTTGTAAATCTCTTTCGTTTTAACAAAGGTAAGATTTATTTCTAAAAATCAGAAAATGCAGTTTTGATTCTCTGCATTCAGTATTGTGCTGTGCTGTTGCAAGACAGTGAAATATACAAGGTGGTAGCTTTAATCACAGGTCACCAAGTCTGTAGAAGGAAAAGGTAGCGTTTCATTGTAATCTGATTAATTATTTGTGTGAATTGAGTTTAAAATGGTTAAGGAGGTCCTTTTTAAAGAGAAAGCAGTTTTCTATATTTTTTCTGTTAATGTGCTTCAACTTAATAAGTTTACAGAATGAAACTTATTGTGAGGGAGGTGTTAATAACACAGATTTTAATTAAAGCAATAAAATTAAACAGCAGTGCATGGTTTATACATTTAAAAAATTAGAAGCTGCCACTAGGCCTGTTGAGATTTAACACTTACTAGATTAAGTTTAAGTGATATCAAATGAAAAAATAATTTAGAAATGAGTTCTTGAATAGTATATTATTTGTTTTTTAGCCAGGAAGAATTAAAAAAAAAAAAAAACAGTAGCCATGTTGTACCCTCAGTTTGCCTTTGGTTTTTTGTTTGTTTTGAGACAAGAGTCCAGTGGTTAGCCTATGCTAGCCTGAAACTCACTGCATATCTCTGACCAGCCTTGGTGAGGAGGCTATTTTCCTGTATTAGTCTTCTGAGAGCCAGGATTATAGGCATGAGCTACCATCCTGATTCGTTTGTCTTTCTTGTTTGAAATGTGTTAGAACAGCAGTTTTTGACCTTTTCTTTAAAGTATTTAAAAATGAAGACTTGTGTACATGTGTGATCGCCTGCAGAGGTTAGGAGGGGGCTTAGTTATAGGTGTTTAGGAGCTTCTAAACTGAGCAAAGGGTCCTCAGTTATGAATTTAATACATAAACATACTGGCCCAAGTATTTTATCTGTCACTTTCTTGTTGAACTCCGGGCCTTAGCTTTTCAAGTGATACCAAGTTTCCTTTGTCACAGAGAGGGGAGAAGGGGGCCAAGGAGAGCAGCCATCTCCGAGTGCAGGTTGGTCCAGCCCTCACATCCCTTCGAGGACACAGTCGGTGAAATCGCCCGTACCTTATAAAAAGCAGCTTGACGAGGAGGTCCAGCGGCGCTCTTCAGTACTAGGTAAAGCAGCGTCTTCCCCTCTTCCTGTGTGAATCTCCTTCATGTCTTTCTAGGTCAGATACTAACAGTTTTCCTGTTTCTTGGAATAGTTAGGTACTCTAGAATAAGTAAAACTTGGGTAATAAAAGAATTTTTCAATACCTGAAACACTCTTCATCATGTCCTTAAACTTTGATTATGCAAGCTCTGATTGTCTTGACTGAATTTTGATTAATTGCTTGCTTGGGTTTCAGCAGAGAACACTTTGCCACATCCCCAGGAGAACACAGGTTAGTTCCAACTTTACAGACGGATTCTGCGCCTATTCTCGGGATGCTAATGAAGTGTGATGTGCATGCCACTGGCTGCCGAACACTGTCAAACTCCATTGGTGGGCTGTCATTGTTGGGGTTCACAGTGTCTGTGTGGCTGAATGCACTGCTTCTCATGCCTGCTTGTTTACCATGTCCTCATCCCATTCATTTTCCTGCTCTTCTGATGGGTGTGGGCTGGCAACTGTGCTTCAGTTGAGGGACTGCGGTGGTTTATGTTTATTTCCGTTAGATTGTTCAGCTCAGTAACTCAAGGAAGGGCAGTGGCAGTGGTTCCACGGAGAGGGAGGCTGCAGTGTTGGGAACCCCGGGTCTGTCCTGTCGGCTCACTGACTTCCATGAAATGCTCGAGTGAACACTACTTGTGTAGTGGTGGTTGGCAGAATGTTTTATTGCTTGTTGAGACTGGATGGCGGGGGAAGCAGAAGTAGAAGAGGTGCTTTTGCTGAAGGGCTACAAAGTGGACTGTGTCATGCCCACAGGTTTTCCAGGGTAACCGCCTCTGCCCAACTTCTATCATTTTGAAAGGAAGAGTTTGGGAGATGGGGCAGAGGATTTTCTTTTCATTCTAGATCACCCAGGTTTAACCTTAACCTTATTACAATCCCCTTAAACCCGACCTGTGGCTTCGGAGGATAAGGCAGGAGGATTGCAAGTTCAAAGCCAGCCAGGAAATATTAGCAGATTCTAGACCAGTGTAGTCTCCATAGTGAGGCTGTCTTAGGGAAAGAAGCAAAAACAAGTTAGAGCAACAAAACCTGGCCCTTGGCAACACTGTCTGTATTTGAGGATGCTCTTCTGCTCAGATTCTGTGCTGTCCGAAAGCTTTCGTTTGTTTCCTTCTCCTTGCTAAACAACTCACATTTAGTTTTTCACATAATACCAAACTATTCTTTGCTGCAAAGGGAGGAAGAATGGGCCAAAGAGCAGTCTCTGGGTTTCTTCACTTGTGAAATTGAGGAATTGGACTTGAATCCTTATAGTCTTGTAGGGGTTGCAGAGTTGTAGCTTGCCAAAATTTGCCTTTGTTGTTAGGATAAATTTGAACTGTTTGTCCATAGGCAGATCTTAGATGACCTCCTTCACTCTGGTTCCCACGCTCCCTGCTGTCAACAAGTCTACTTGCATCTTGGATTTTCCCTTGGAGGTCTTAGACACATACATTTTCCCCCCACTACATGTCTGACTCTACAGTTTGGTAGTTCTCCTATCTTAGGGAAGTTACTTGATTTTCTAGAATCCATTTACAGATGCAGTAGCTAATGGTGCTCGTCTGAGGGCAAGGGTCTCTCTTCTTCCACTGAGGCCAAGCAGGGTCTCCCTGCTCATTCTTTCCCAGTAGAAAATATTGATACTTTTTTCTCTTCCAAGTGTCTAAGTGCAAAGGACTTCACAACTTACTGCCTGTGCCAGGAAGCACCTCCATTGTGACTCTCTAGAATTTATAATCATGGAGAGGTTTTTAATCGTTTGAGACTCAAGAAAAATTGAGTTGTAATACGTGTTACTAACTGCACATCTGAGATCTGTGCTTCAATTAAGATAGGTGCAGTTTAGATAAGGTGTTATTTTAGTGATTCAACTGCCTTAAATTCTTGATGCATTTGGATTTATATAGCAACCTCTCATTCTTTGCAATTCCCCCTTCCCCCTCAAAAAAACCCATCTAAGTAGAAAACTAGAAAATGATGAGATAGATTCAGGATGGGATATTTTTCCATTTTATAGAAATTTACCTTCCCTGTACGACATACCTTCTAGATCCCCAAGTAGATATCTAAAGCCATAGGCACTTTCAAAGCTTTAATATATAATTTTTTCCACTATGATAAAGTTTAATTTATAAATTAGACCAAGAGATTAATAATAGTAATATTATGCTAACCAGCACAGTGGTAACTATAGTAAAATCATGTGAATGTGATCTGTTTCTCTTGAGCTAGGACAGATACTATTATTTTCAGACTGTATGACTGAGGATTACTGAAACCTTAGGAAGTAGAACTGAGATAGAGAGGAATTATGTATGTCAGGGGGACTCCACGGTTGTTAGATTATTGTGCTTAAGCTAACAAGAATGCTCATTTTTTTTTTTTTTTTGTCAAGCCACATTCATTTTCCCCTGAGAGTGTGAAATTGCTATAGCTAGGTATAGATAGAAATTTCACTTGTGATTTTTGTCTAAATAAAAAAGAATAGCTGGCAGCTATGGTAGTCATACTTTGGCTACAAAGCTAGAATTTGGACTTGTTTTATTATCAGTAGATTTGGTTTCATATTGTTATTTCAAATGTAAGTGATTCCTTGGAGTGTGTAATTGCAAGGTTGAGGAGGTGGCGGGTATGGGTGTGGGCTCGGGGAGAGTAGGGTCGAAGCTTTGGCAGTTTTAATCTGCTTGGACACTGGTCATATTTTATTATCCTGGATGTCCTATAAAGCCTGCTGGGATCTTTGGAAGGCTGGTCAATACAATTTCTTTCTGATGATTTGCTATGGAACAGAACAGTTTGGTCCCATTGCTTACTTATTTGACTTTTAGACCAAGTTAAAATAATTCTCTGGGATTACCTTTTTTTTCTGTTCAATGTCTCCCAGGTATTTGTTATTTATTTGGTTGGGAAAAAAGTGTACAAGAAATCATTAATAACTTCTGGGCATGTAAGTGATGATTCCATTTCCACCCTCAAAATCATCCGTCATTTAAGATAGTTCTTAGTACTTAACTACACTAACATTGTGGTTTATGTGTAATAAGACATACTTGAAACAACTTATTACTCTTGATAAAGATCAACACATGTATGCTAACAATAGGGTATGATTGTATTGTATTACACACACATGTATAATGTTTGATATGGTTACTAGAAATTATAAAACAATTAGTGTTATTTTTTTAAATCTGACTCAGACTCAAGAAGGAAAGTAGAACCAGCCTTTGGAGGTCATGACCCACGTACAGCTGTTCAGCTTCGAAGCCTCAGCACAGTATTGAAGCGCCTCAAGGAGATCATGGAAGGGAAGAGCCAGGTACTGTAGATGCTCTCATGGAGATCATGCCGTACCCTCTGGCAATGGCATCGTATCACTTAAATGAAAGTTTATAATTTCTTCTGATTCTGAGTACCAGAGTTTTACACATAAATTCTTAATTTTTTTTAAAGTGTAGTTTGATTTTTATTTGCCTTTATATTTTGTTTCAGTGTTTGCTTTTTAGGTCAGTGTTAGTACATATTCTCACATGTGGCTTTGTCAACAAGCTTTATTATTTTTGTTCATAAATAGGGTTCGGGTTTCCTTTGTCCCTGTAGATATCCAGTTGGACCCAGGACATTGTTTGTAAAAAGCCTTTCCTTCAGAGGCTGCATTATCGCTCACCAGAAGCTCATACGCAGTGTTGGTACGCCACTCTTCCTGTACTGTGGCTCCATGTCTGTTTTTGTAGGACAGTGACCTGAAGCAGTACTGGATGCCCGACAGCCAGTGCAAAGAGTGCTACGATTGCAGTGAGAAATTCACAACCTTCAGGCGCAGGCACCACTGCAGACTGTGTGGGCAGATTTTCTGCAGTCGCTGTTGTAATCAAGAAATCCCTGGAAAGTTTATGGGCTACACAGGTAAGTGTATTTCCTTAACAGTATCATATTTAAAACTCAAATTACGAAATAGTAAAATAGAAGGCCAATATTAAGCCATTTTTTAATTTTGGGCTTTATATTTATGGTAGCAGGGTATTGTAGTGAGAAAAAGAGATAGAGCTTTGATTTTAAGAACTTTATATTTGAATAGTAAAAGAGATGAGAGTGTTCATAAGTCACTAGAGTAAAAGTATAGATACTGTAAAAACCTATAGCAGCATTAGAGATTATTAGATAAGTGGATTTTAAATTTATATTTCTATAGCGTTTTTATTCACAAAGTAAAGGTTGCCTTGACTTACATGATAGTGTACTTTGTCAAATTGTATTTTATTCATATTATTTCATTGAGAATGTAGTGAAATTGTAGTAATGGAGAAAGTTCAAGGATGGAAGTTTGTTAATTGAATACGGTCAGTGCTCAGGTTAATACTTAACAAACCCTGTGTGAGGGTGTCGGATTCCTTGGAACTGGAGTCATGAATCAGTTAAGAGCTGCCATGTGGGTGCTGGGAATTGAACCCTGGTCTGGAAGAGCAGTCAGTGCTCAACTGCTGAGCTATGTCTCCAGCTCAATTTTCCTTATTTTTTATGTCTGTCGTCATAAGCAATTCTCTTCTCTTTAACTCTGATTTTTTTTTCCCCTGAGACAGAGTTTCTCTGTAGTTTTGGTGGCTATCCTGGAACTAGCTCATGTAGATCAGGCTGACCTGAACTCACAGAGATCCACCTGCCTCTGCCTCCTGAGTTCTGGGATTAAAGGTGTGCACCACCACCACCAGACGTCAACTGTTTTTATTCACCTGCTTAAAAGTTTGAGACTCTTTGCAATCTTAGCTTAGCAAGCAATATGGCAACAGAAAGTAAGCACTTCTTCCTGTCCAGTTTTTTTTTTTTTATAATTTGTTTTATATTGTTGTTCCCAGGATGTTGAACCCAGGCCTGTGTATAGCTACATTCCTAGCCAGTTTGTAAGGTTCATGAGCTGGGAATTTGAGTCCCTAAGCTCACCCTTTTTTCTACTTTGTGTTGTACATTAGGAGTAATGAACTAATCTCATACTTGCTATTTTAACAGGCGGTTTGTTAAGTATTAACCTGAGCACTGTGCGTATGCAGTTAAGAAGAGCTAGTTACTGCCTTGCAAGCCTTTATTTCCCTACCACTTTCTTAGTGTTTTTTTTTATTATTGGAAATACTCACTAATATTTTTAGTTTTCTTTAGTTTTTTAAATTTTTTTAAAATTATTTTATGTGTGTTAGTGTTTTGCTTGCACGTGTGATATATGTATGTTATGGATATGCCTAGTGTTCACAGAAGTGAGAACAGGGCATTGGATCTCTTGGAACTGGAGTTATGGATGGTGTTGGGAATTGAACCTGGGTCTTCCTCAAGAGCAACAAAGTGCTGTCAACCACTGAACCTTTTTTCCAGCCCTTTCATTAATTCTTTTAAATTGAATCTAATTAGAGAACCAATTTCAGAAACTTGAGGAGCCAATTCAGAAAACTTAAGCCTAAGCTACTGTGTCTATAAAACCGTTCTTGCACTGCATCAATAGAGTCAAGTTTCTCCAGAGAGGGGAAGTAATGGGTGGGTTGACAGTTACCCGTCGTCAAGGAGTCTCTCAAGTGCGTGTGTAGTTAGTCAGGAGGCTGGAAACTAAGATTCCAGGTTTTGTGCTGAGACAGAATTCCCTTGGCTTTTGGAAAACTCTTTGTACTTGAGGCCTCAGTTGATTCGGATGAGAGTCATGCTGTGGATAATTAACTGCTGTCTGATGAAAGTCAGCCTTAAATGTTAATAACACTGCAAAAACAACAAAACCAAATGAGCTTCAACATTAGTATTGGAACAAAAGTTTGTGTAGTCAAATCGAACCTTAAGATTAGCCCTTGCAAGTGAGAAATGTATATTGGACACACTAGAAAAAATGGAAAATACCTGGAATATTGATGGATAGAAAAATTAATAAATTGCCCTCGTGTGTTGGCACACACCTTTAAGCCTAACACTTAAGAGGCAGAGATAGGTGAATCTCTCTTGAGTTTGAAGCCAGCTTTGTCTATGCAGTGAGACATTGTCTCAAAAATTAGAAGGAAAATCAATGAGTATTATAGAGAATCAGTGAGAATTAAGCTGCTGTTATTGGTGGTAATAGCAGGAACATCTGCATTTATCATACAGCTTTTAAATTGCATATGTGTTAGTTGTCTCCAGTGAACTATAGATTCTGCAAGGCAAGGACCTGTCTTATCAATCTTTGTCTTCCAACAGTTCTAGGCATGTGTCCAGTAGTCGTTTGCTGATGAACGAACATTCTTTATGGAATGAAAGCTTTTGTGGTCAGGCTTGGCTTTGTTTCTTGATTTGAGTTTTAATAGTTGACTGGTTAAGGGAGTTTATCGTTTATAGTCTAATCTAGTCTTTGCTGTGGTAAAAATTGAAGGACTTTCTGCAGAGAATAGTTTTGCTTCTTTAATGTAGTTAAGTTTGGGACAGCAGTAGTGATTATCAGAGCACATTTATTTATCCTAGACCAAAGAACACTTTATTTTGTTATTGTTTACTGAGTCCTGATTAAAATGAATATATTTGTCTTTATTTAAATTTTAGATAAATTTCATCTGCTAAATTATAATGTTAGAAATTAGTAAACTAGTGACATTTTATTTTGATTAATATGCATATATAATTTGATTAAACAGAATTATATAATAGTTATCTTAAAATAAGACAATAAAAGTAGTATACTTGAGCTGGGCAGTGGTGGGGCACACCTTTAGTCCCAGCAATCGGGAGGTGGATTTCTGTGAGTTCGAGTCAGCCTGGTCTACAGGAGCTAGTTTCAGGACAGCTAGAGCTGTTACACAGAGAAACCCTGTCTCAAAAAACTGGAAAAAAAAAGAGAAAGAGAGAGCCAAGACTGACCACAAATGCATTGTGGCCATTGAAGAATGTCCACCCGACACGCCCTTCTTTCTGGTTTTTGAGCCACAGTACCATTTAACTCAGGCTAGTTCTGAAAGCCTTATCCTCTTGTCTCTGCCTACCAGAAGGCCTTTTCTTTCTACCTCCACATAGCAGGTGTGTGCCACTATGCACAACTTCCCTTTTGTTTAAGATGGTATCACTGTGTTGTCCAGGCTGTGCATGTATGGTCTTCCCAATACCAACATGGCTCCTCAAAACAGTAAACTCTTATTTTGGTAAATAGAAAAAAATGATAAAAAATATAGTAAAGATAGAAACCAGTGACAGACATAGTTGTTTATTTTATTTTATTTTATTTTATTTTATTTTATTTTATTTTATTTTATTTTATTTTATTTTATTTTATTTTATTTCAGACAGGTTTTCTTTGTGTAACAGCTCTGACTGTCCTGGAACTCACTTTGTAGACCAGGCTGGCCTCAAACTCACTGAGATCCTTCTGCCTCTTGCCTGCCTGCTGGGATTAAAGGTGTGCACCTGGCTTTATCATCAAGTGTTATTTAGATCATGTGCGTTACAGTTTCATGACTTACAGATCCATAAGTTTAAGTCAGCCTCAGCAAAAATGTGAATAATATGCCATCCTAAACCATTATGATGGCTGTTGGACCAGGCAGTAAGAAGTTTTCAGCCCCACTACAAGCTCACAAAACCACTGTTGTAGGATGGGTCGGTTGTTAACTGAAATGTCGTGTGGCACTTGGTATATTTTGCCTCTTAGTACACCAGATTGTTATGGAATCACATCAAACAGTGTTTTGTAAAAATGAGTAGAAATGAAACTTATTTTTGGACAGGACTGTGTCCAACAAAATGGTTGAAAGTATTAAGGATGTTGTTTGTCCTAGGAACAATTTTTGTGGTGTTACAGGTTGAGCTCAGGGCTTCATGCATTCTAGGCAGGCACTCTGTCACTAAGCTGCACTCCTAGCTAGAACATTTCATTCCTATTTCACTAGGGCTTTTCCTTTAGTTTGGTCCTATGTGTCATACTGTGTGTAAGACTATTTCCTGTTAGTTTAAAAACTGTGCTGTAGATGGAGGAAATCTCCAAGACCCTCGTCCTAGAAGAGCTACACGGCTGCTGGGAGAAGCGCAGTCAGTCTTCTCCAGGGACAGGCCCCTGCCAGAGCCCTACACATCTGAATGCATCAGGCTGTAGTTTTACATTTTTTTCAATTGATTTTATTGAGCTATACGTTTTTCTCTGCTCCCCTCCCTGCCTCTCCCCTCCCTTCTACCCTCTTCCATGGTCCCCATTCTCCCAATTTACTAAGGAGATCTTGTCTATTTCCTGTGTAGATTAGATCCACATATGTCTCTCTTAGGGTTTTCATTGTTGTCTAGGTTCTCTGGGGTTGTGATTTGTAGGCTGGTTTTCTTTGCTTTATGTTTAAAAACCACTTATGAAGCTGGGTGGTGGCACACACCTTTAATCCCAGCACTTGGGAGGCAGAGGCAGGCGGATCTCTGTGAGTTCGAGGCCAGCCTGGTCTATAAGAGCTAGTTCCAGGACAGGCACCAAAAACTACAGAGAAACCTTGTCTTGAAAATCCAACGGGCGTTGGTTGCGCACGCCTTTAATCCCAGCTCCAAACCTACAGAGAAACCCTGTTTTGAAAAAAACAAAACAAAACAAAAAAAGAAAATCCAAAAAAAAAAAAAACCAACAAAATAAAACAATAACAACAACAACAACAAAAAACCACTTATGAGTGAGTACATATGACAATTATTCTGGGTCTGGGTTACCTCACTCAGTATGATGTTTTCTAGATCCATCCATTTGCCTGCAAATTTCAAGATGTGATTTTTTTTTTTCTGCTGTGTGGTACTCCATTGTGTAAATGTACCACATTTTCCTTATCCATTCTTTGGTCGAGGGGCATTTAGATTGTTTCCAGGTTCTGGCTATGACAAACAAAGCTGCTATGGACATAGTTGAGCACATGTCCTTGTGGTACGATTGACCATCCTTTGGGTATATACCCAAAAGTGCTATTGCTGGGTCTTGAGGAGGTTGTTTCCTAATTTCCTGAGAAATCGATCAGGTTGCATGTTTTACATGCATGAGTGCTTACGTGCCTGTGTGTATGACAATAATTACAGACGAGCTCATGGATTTGAGAGGAGAGGACATGGAATGAGCTGAAGTGGGGAGAAGGGTGGGAACGATGTAAGCACAGTTCTCAGCTATGACATTCTCAGGAGCTCTGTTCTGGAGACCTTTCTTCAGAGCTGTATCATAGGGACCTTAGCATTACTTCATCCCTACTTACTATCTAGGGACAATAACTTGTTTCTGTTGTTGTTCACTATATTAACATCTGTTCTCATTGAAAGCACTACCTCGGATAGATCCCTCATTGCATGAATACAGTTATGAAAAAATATATTGCAGCCATGATTTTCTGTTATTATTGGGTCAAATTTTCTTAACTGTTACAGATACTTGAAGTAGTTGAGAAGCTTGTTGAATTTATTGTAATAATAAATGTAGCATGTACAGCAGACTCAGCCAAGTGTTCCACTTATTTGGAATGTCTTTGTGGTGGTCTTTACTTGAAGACACTTCCTTTTATTAAACTACCTATTAACACAAAGATTTAAAATATTTTATTAAATAATATATTACTGATACCTTTCCTTATTATTTTTCCTCCTAGGAGACCTCCGAGCGTGCACATACTGTAGAAAAATAGCCTTAAGTTATGCTCACTCCACAGACAGTAATTCCATTGGGGAAGACTTGAATGCTCTCTCAGATTCAACTTGCTCTGTGTCTATACTTGATCCAGGTGAACCTCGGACACCTGTTGGGAGTAGAAAAGCTAGTCGTAACATATTTTTAGAGGATGATTTAGCCTGGCAAAGGTACTGTCACTTGAATATAATTTGATTTAAATGAGAAATGCTTAGTCCTGTGACCTGTATTTTTCATTAACATTTATTTTTCTTATTATCTGCCAGTTTATTATTTTTTCCAGTTCATGTACAGAAGGATCATAGATGTTTATGGATGGTGATTATATTAGCATTGAAATATAAGTACATGAGAGGAGAGCTTTTTTACAGGTGTATTTGCTCTTCTACCATTAAACCAAGAACAGAATACGTGGCAGGTGCATGATCCTTGCAGTAGTTGGATGAGGCAACAGAGTCATTGACATTAATACTTCCTGATGTAGTCCTCTTAGAGAAAGCAGAGTGCTCCTGAGATGTGGGCCTGTTTCCAAATTCAGTTAGTGTTTTTTTTTTATTGTTGTTGTTTTGAGTATTTGACGTGTTTATGTTTCCACTGGAATCCAAGGTCCATCACTCATTTTGTTTAGGAGAATTATCTTCTTACACATGACTCCTAATTTTTCCATGTCATCAATCTCAGAGTTTTAATTGCTTTTTTCTTTTTTTCTTTTGTTTTGGCTTTTGAGACTGAGACAGGGTTTCTCTGTGTAGCCCTGGCTGTCCTGGAACTCACTCTGTGGTCCAGTCTGATCCACCTGCCTCAGCCTCACAAGTGCTGGGATTGAAGGCGTGCACCACATACCCATTTTAACTAACATTCTTCTGATGAGTAGTTTTCTTAGTTCCTTTTTAACAAAGAGAAGAATTAGTATATATTACATATTTAAAAGGAAATGAATTATAACTAATTCATCATATTTGAACCCAGGGTCATAAGTAGAAAAGTCACAAATCAATATGCACTAAGATTCTAATTATATATTGTTCAGAATTATATAAATGAAGATACAAATGCTATAATTATTAGTTACTTGTCTTATTACTCTAACAGTGGTAAATGTAAATTTTTAGTAATTGTTTCATTGAGATTAGGGAAAAAGATGGTACTGGGTAGGGAATACAGACTCTTCAATACTTTGGTAATTGAGTCTTCTCCTTAAGTTGCTTGATGGGTCTTTTGACGTTTGCAGCATCGCAATCATACTATACTTGGTACACATTTTATAAACTTAATTGATTCTATATTTACTAAAACAGTATGAAGATTACATTCTTTAGCTTTTTTATCATTTTAGTTAACAATGCTTATTTGTGTGTGGTCCAGTTGTGTGGTCTCAGAACTGGCAAGTATGATTTAGTGAGGCATCGTGCGAGCAGAGGATGGGCCCCAGAGGCAGTTTTGGGTGCTGTGTTAAATCTCACGTGCCACGCTCCTCTAGTCAGCTCATCTTCTTGGTGGGAAATTGTTTCTTTTTTGACAGATGTTGATGCTAAAGTTCAGAAAGGTTACGTAGTGAATCTGAGGTCACATGGCTGGTAAGAAATGGGCCCTGTTCTTGGACCTTGGTTTGTTGCACTCTTTGGTACTATTCTTATGAGTTGTGGGACAGAGAATAGAATTTTTGAGCACAGATTTTTTTTTTTTAACACAAATCACTTTCATCTTCTATATGTGGTATGGAAATGAGTTTTATAAATCACCTGTCCAATCAGATTTGGTGGTTTATTGATAATTCCGTACATTTAAAACATCATTTTTTTTTTCTTTTTTTGAGACAGGGTTTCTCTGTGTAGCTCTAGCTTTTCTGGAACTCGATCTGTAGAGCAGAATAGCCTTTTCTGCCTCCTGAGTGCTGGGTTAAATGTGTGTACCACCATTGCCCAGTGAAACTGCACTTTTTGCCTCAAATAACTGAAAAGGACAAAAATGAACTGTATATAATCTCATTGTTGCAGGCAAAAATAATTTGCTTCAAAATTTGAAAGCATCTGCTTGCAGCCCCAACTGACCCCAGTGTTTTCATTTTCTTTATAGCTTGATTCATCCAGACTCCTCAAATAGTGCTCTTTCAACAAGACTTGTCTCTGTTCAAGAGGATGCGGGGAAGTCTCCTGCTCGAAACAGGTAAACACCTAATAGAAGCTACTCAGATTTGTGTTTATGTCCATAGAAATGAGAACAGACAAACAGGTGAGATGATGTCCTTCCTCTGTTTGGTTGTTTCTTTTTCAGCTATTCCTTGATGATTGCAGATATTGGGACCTTTTCGTGTCTTCTGGTTTAGTGAGGCATGTAGGCATTCTGTGAAAATGTGTACCAGGGAAACAGGTGGCAGATGCTCAAGGGGACCACACCTGGTAGGAGTATGAGAGGTCCTGTGGGCTGTAGTAGACTGTCTCAGGATGGATGAATGGTCTCAGATGAGGAGCTGTTGAAAGTAAAACAACAACAACAAAAAATTTCAATTGCTTTGTAAAATTGAAAATTGTAAAAGTCTTTTAAGGATATGGAAATAAATGTCCGTATATTTTCCATTAAGATATACTTATATTTTGTCTGTTTATTTTGATACATTTTATATAGTACTTTTAAACCATTCAAGAGTAATGCTATCGTTTTTTAGTTTTTTCGGTAAATAAGTTCAGAAAATGTTTTATGTTTGAGACAGGATCTTGCTGGCCTTGGACTCACTGTGTTCCCAGACTGGCTTCTAACTTACAGTCCTAGCTCAACTCATTGAGTGCTGGAATTGTAGGCAAGCACTGCTTACACCAGCTGAGAATTCTTTGTTTTTTTAGTAGCAGTTTTGGCTTCATAGCAAAATTAATCAGAAACTTGGAATCATACAGCATATATGGTATGCTTTCAGTTCTTTCATTCTTTCAGTTAGTAATGTGCACTTAAGTTTCCTCTATCTCTTCATGACTTATTGCATATTTTTCTTTGTTGCTAAGCAATATTCTAGTTTCTAGATGTACCATAATTTACCTTCACCTTCTGAAAGTCATCTGGGTAAATTCCATGTTTTGGTAGTTATATAGAAGACTGTGAACATCTGTGCAATTTTTTTTTTTTTTAAGTGAGACTTGTTTCATTACGTTGCTCTGTCTGTCCCGGAACTCACAGGGAGCTACCTGTTCATACCTTCTGGGTGCTGAGATTACAGGTGCACACCACCATACTCAGCCCTGTGTCCTTTTGTTGTTATGTGTGGATGTAGTTTTAAGTTCATTTGAGTAAATACCAGAAAGCATGATTGTGGGATCATATAGAAAGGACATGTTTAGTTTTGCAGGGATTCCGAACTTTCTAGAACCTACATTGCTGTTTTTCATTCCCAGGAGAGTTCCTCTTCTACCACACCATGTCCAGCAATGCTGTTGCCAGTGTTTTGTAATAAAGTTGCCTTTTCCTGATAAGAATTGAACATTTTTTTTATTTGCTTATTTACCTTGCGTGTGTCTTCTTTGTAAAAGGAGTCCATTTTGTGGTTACATTGCTAATTTTTTTCACTGTTGAGTTGCCTTCTAGTTTAGTATAATGGCCGAAAGGATGTGAGAAAGTGAGGCATATAGGACGGTGGTGCCGCACACCTTTAATCCCAGCACTCTGGAGGCAGAGGCTGGTGGATCTCTGAGTTTAAGGACAACCAAGGCTACACAGAGAAACTCTGTCTCAAACAAAACAAAACAAAACAAATCTTTATTAAATGTATCATTTGCAAGTACTCTTTAGCTGGTCTTTTCATGTTTTGACATTGTTTACGGAGCATAAGTATTTTAATTGGAGTGTGCCTTTGGTGTTATATCTAAGTAGCTATTACTATATTCATCGCATCTAGGTTTTCTCCTGTGTTATATCTTCTAGGTGTTTTGTAGTCTTGCATTTTATGTTTTGATTTGTGATCCATTTTGAATTATTTTTTTGTGGCGGGCATAACTTTGTTTATGTTTCTTTTTGTGTATGTTGATCCATTTGATCCAGTATCATTTATTGAAAAATCTTTGCTCTTTTTTTGCCTTTGCTTCTTTATCAGAGGTCATTTGTATTTGGAGGGTCTCGAACTCTGTTGTGCTTTATTGACATGTTTGTTTCTTTGTTTACCCATGCTTTATGATCCTGATAGATGTAGCTGTATAGTAAGTCTTGAATTCAGGTAGTGTCAGTTCTCTAACTTTTGTTTGTCTTCTTTATCTAACAGTGTGTTCACGGTTTGCTGGTTTCTATTGTTTTGTTGTCCTTACAGTCTTTAGAGTCAGTATCTGCAATATAATTCACTCTGCTTTTGATCAAGATTGTGCTGGCTCTGAATGTGATTTAGAGAACTCTTTTTTAAAAAAAGATTTATTTATTTTTATTTTATGTATATGCATGTTTTGCCTACATATATGTTTGTGTACCACATTCATGCAGTGCCCATGGAGACCAGAAGGGGGTGTCAGATCCTCCGGAACAGTCATGTGGGTGCTGAGTGATGGCTGCTAGAAACACCCTGGATTCATTGTATATTTGATTTTGAATTAATTTTTGGTTGTTGTATATTCAGAAAATTTTCATGTTTGCCAGATTTTTCAGGATCCCACGATTTAATTATTTGGTCCCTTATGAGATCATGACAAATTAAGGAAAGTGGGCGCTACCCCAGGCCACTTATTACATTTGACTGTCGTTTCTTCCGGTCTGCTCTACTATGCAGTAATTCCTTTATTTTCCTGATAATCAATTTGTAAAGAGACAGGCAGTTATCTAGTAGGATGTCCATTCATTTGTGCTTGTCATATGCTTCTTGGATTGGATTTATGGTATAATTTTTACCCTTCCTTCCTTCTTGAAAGGAATACTGTAAAGTTTTGTGTAGTTTTCATTTTGTCCTACAAGAATGGGTATAGTTCTGTTTGTGTCATTGGTTGCACTGACTTAGGTTTTTGCTAAGATTATGTCTTAAGTTACCAGTTTTCCCTTTGTCATTTAGAAGAGATATGTGGGAGATGCTTTGAGGTTGCATTGGTTCAGTCAGTAGTCAGCTTTCTGACTATTGCTCTAAGGCTATATAATATTTTTTCCTAACTAAATCAGTCCTTCTTTATTATTAGGTGACATTCTAGCCTATGAAAACTTCCTCTTGTTGGAAAGTTAAAAAGGGGAATTTGGAGCATGCAGTGTTCTGATTTATTTTTTAAAAGGAATCTGACTTCTGTAGTGAGTATATTGAAGGAGAAGCTGGTGCAGCAGCAGCAGCCCAGGCTGGAGAACATACTTAGAGCCGCATATAAGTGAGGTGAGGGGTGTGAGCACACTAGAAAAGGACAAGTTCTGCATGTGTTTTGGTGGTATGTGTAAATAGGACTTGCTAATAAATACAGTGTAGGCTAACCCAGAAAGGACATCAAAGATGATTAAGGGTTTTTTGACCTGAGCAGCTTAAGTGTGGCATTAGCATTTATTGAAGTGTAGGGGAGGGTGGAGACATGTAACAGTTTGATTTTAGACATGTTGAATTTGATATATCATCTAGATATCCAAGAGAGATGTCAAGTGAACACATGGATGGGTTAGATGTGAAGTACTGGCTAGAGATAGAGATCTCAGTAGGTTCGGCGGCAAACACCCCTACCAACTGAGTCACCCCACTGGCTCCTGGTTCTTGAATTTTTTTCCTAACCTGTAAAGTGAGCTAGTAATACTTACTCCATAGAATGTATAGGTTACCCCAGAAATGAGTTATGTAGTGTCAAGTGACGTTTCTTTTCATCTTTTCTGTTGAAGCTAAAGTTAGATTTTATTTTTGTTTTTGTTGTAGACGATGACTAAAATTTCAATTAAATTAAAAATACATAAAAGCTTGGTGTTATGATATTCTATTTATAAGTCATATGATATGTGCATAGAAGCAAAGTTAAAGATATATGAGAATACTTACAGAACAAGAGAAAACACATTTCCTGTAACTTTTTTTTTTTTACTGAAGAAATAGGTGTGTGTGTTGGTTTTTTGAGAGACAGGATTTCCCCGAGTAGCACTCTCTGTCCTGGAACTCTCTTTGTAAACCAAGCTGGTCTCAAACTCAGTGATCTTCCTGCCTCTGCCTCCCAAGTGCTGGGGTTAAAACCATGTGCCACCACCACCTGGCCTGTATAATATTATTTGAGCACAGTATTTTAAATACAGGCCTACTAATGAGAAGGAAAATAATTTGTTCTTGAGGCTGATGTAATTAGTATTCCTATTATCAGATTCATTGCAAGATGTTCAACTCTAAAACTGATTCTTGTAATTTCTGGGTGATAGAAAAACAAGGGCAGGCTGGATTTGGCCTGCATGCCATTAACCCAGAGACGCAGGTTATTGTATGTAGTTGTTATTTCTTATTTTTCTCAGTTATAAAAATTAATTTCCAGTATTTTTTACAAGCAGAGTTTGTGTTCTTCCTTTGAAACACTAATAGACAAACTATATAATTGTTTTCCTATAGTATTTAAAACTGTTCAAATTTTTTTGTTCAAACAATTGTTTCTGGTGTCCTTCCCTGCTTTTCTCTAGTGGTAGTCTACCCTCATAACTACGAATATCGTTCCTCTAGCAATAGCTCCTAAACATGTGAGTATGAATTTCACTTAACTCCCTTCACAGGTGAATTTACAATTGTGATTGTACTTTTTGTTTTTATTTCCAGATCAGCCAGCATTACTAATCTGTCACTGGATCGATCCGGTTCTCCTATGGTTCCTTCATATGAGACATCTGTCAGTCCCCAGGCTAACCGAACCTATGTTAGAACAGAGACTACTGAGGATGAACGCAAAATTCTTCTGGTACCAGTCCAGCATCTAACCTGTTGCTAGTTTTGAGCATAAAAAATGATGACTTTTTATTCCCATAAAGAAATACATACATAAGTGTCAGCTGGGCTTGATATGCATGCCTGTAAGTCCTGTACTGGGAAGGAGGAGGCAGGAGAATCATGCGTTTGAGGCTCGCTTGGGATAAGTGGGGTGTTGCTCTAAAAAAATAAAGTTTACGAATTAGACAGGGAATGAATTAGCTTAACCTTTAATTTACTAGCATCACCTGAGAAACTGGGTAAATACTCTTTCATACTCATTGTATTACTGTTTTCTTTCCCCCTTTTATCTAATACAAGAATTGAAGTTAGATTGTAGTTTGCTTAAACTTTGGAACATCATTCTTACATACATGGAAAACTCTGAGAAACTTTAATTTCAACTGTTTATATGACATAGTAATTGGTTCTTTTTTCAGTTTATGTATATGTAAAACATTTGTCAAATTCTAAGAACAATTCAAAGAAATGAAAAATAAGTCTTTTGTCTTAAAGAGGTTAATTCAAAAGATAGAAATGAGATCGGTGGGAATATTTTTACTAGTGAAAGAAGTAATATCTTATTTTATAATTTTATTTTGTTTGAGACATGACCTCTCTGTGTTGCCTAAGTTTTCTCTATGTAGATGAGAGTGTCCTTGAATTCACAGAGATCTGCCTGCTTCTGCCTCCCAGATACTGGGATTAAAAGGTGCATACCACTGTGCCCAGCTTTGAAATACTACTTTAATAATAAAAATGTATCAAATGTATAACACAGGTATATATTATAGAGAAATAAAATAGGAAGATCGTTAGCAGTTGAGGGAGTTAGGAAGTCTTCAAGGGCTTGAACTGGATTTCAAAGGCTGAAATTACTTTTGTTAGGCAGAATGTGAATCTTACTTAAGGATATTACAAAGGTGTAGATTTAGGATCAAAGCATTTTCCATGGATGATAGAATTTGTTTGTTGAGTTTAAGTTGGAATCAGTGACTAGTTAGATGAAGGTTATTTTGATTTATCATTGGGAACCAATAAATTCAGTCTGTCTGTTTACCATTTTAGAAGTGATAGGACCTGAGAGAATGCAGCCAACAAATGACCGTGTTCTGACATCTCCCTCTTTTTAATTTTTTATTAGTAGATAGCCAGAATGGTTTTGATTTGAGATGTTGTAGCTAAATCTAGCATTCTGTGTAATACTCTGCCACCAATATAGGGATCCCAACTATGTCCAGTACTATTGGTTACATTATTATATTGATCAGAAAAATCGAGAGAATAGCTTGAAAAGAGACCCATATGATTAGTAGTTCTGGACCTTTGTAGAATTTAAGTCCATATTTGCCTTTTAATAGGAACACAAATGTTATGATGTTGTATGCAAATAGGAAGTGATTTAAATCCTAAAGAAAAATTAAACTCGGTTCTGTCTTTAGATGAATGGAGGAGTTTATGATGGTCCTAAGGTCCAAGCATAGACACGGAGCCATTAGTAAAGATAACAGGAGCTGGATCCATTAACTCTACCTGAGTTGAGGCAAAGGAGGATAAGAAACCTAAGTGTTCAGAGGCACTCTCTGAAGATGCACAGGTCAAAGCAATAGATACAGCAAATTTCCAGCTAAAGGGCAAAAGGAGATACTGACCATATCATCAGAGGTCCTGTCTGCCCTTGTGGGGTCAAATAAGGCCCTGTGCACCAAGGGAAAAGAAAACACACAGAGTCCTGTTTCACCTGACAAGCTCTCTCTGCATATTGCTTCCCAACTGACTGTTTAATCCTAGTACAGAGACAGAGCAGGCGGATCTCTGTGAGTTCAAGGCCAGCCTGGTCTACAGAGCTAGTTCCAGGACAGGCTCCAAAGCTACAGAGAAACCCTGTCTTGAAAACAAACAAACATAAAAACAAAAAACCAACCCAAAAAACCTGAGTGTTAAGGGTAATATAACAAGGATCAAATCCATAAATCCATGTAATTGCTGACATTGGGTTCTCCCCTGATTTGTTAATTGAGAGCAAGAGGAGTAAGGCAAGCAGTTGGTACTTTATGGCTCTTATGGTGTGAATAAATCCATTCCAAAGGTTTATCCTCTTGGGCTAAGTGGGGAAAGTAAGTAAGCTTAGAGGAGACGAAAGATGTACATGATACACGAATGCGCCTTTTAATCTAGATTCAAAGTGCTGTAGGTCTTTTCTTAAAATCATATGCAAGGACTGTCCATGCCATCTTTCCTTCTAGAGAAGGCTTCTGTGGTTTCTGCCCCTTTATTCACACTCACCTCCTTCTGTGAGTATCCCTGCTTTCTTATCTCATTGCCCATTTCAGTCCCTGTTCACCTCTCTAACTGGTGGTGGGACTTGGGAGAATGGAGCTGATAAAATGAGGCAGGTTAAAGTCTCATGCAATTGCCAATTTTATTCGGAGCATCAGACGAATTTATATTCTGAGGGTAAGAGGAGTCACATGAGATATGTACACTCAGAGCAAGCCACACGTGGAGATCAAGTCTCATGTGGCAAAAACATGTTTTCCTGTAGAGGCATATAAGTAAATAGCAGTAGCCAGTTATGATGAGTAATCCGAATTAAACTCCTATACCTGGGAGGAGCATAAAAACACATTCCAGGAACAATTCTGTGTTTTAAAGAAACTAAGGTCACAAGACTCTTGCCTTGTTTTCTTGGAGTTTTCCCATAAGCACTCGGAATTCTCACACCTCTCCATATTTTGAACCTTGTTCCAACATCTGTCCTTACGTGTTTACGTTTGAACTTGGAGTTCATGAACTTCTTTGAAAGTTTTCTTGAGTAGGAAGCTATTTAACAAAGACTTCTTTAGAAACATTTACTGGTCAGTTGAGAATAATGGGGGACATCTAGACTCCGTGGAGTGGAAGCTACTCTAACTAGGTAATTGACTGTCGTCTTTGTCTACCTTGATTTGTCTCCATAGAATGTATTGTGTGCTTAACTGAGAGACAAGTAATATGTGCCATTGACTGAAAAAGAAGGAACATTGGAAATATTTTGTTTTGAAAAGAAAAAAAAAAACCCGAATGAGTCGAATTGAAGCTGTTTCCATGCATGTTAGTGAGGGACTCCACACTGAGATCCTTCTGAGATCGCAGCCATAGGAGCCTCTGAACAGGTACCCAGAACCCTTTCAGGGCTAGCTAACTGCTTCTCATGTGATTGCAGGACAGTGTCCAGTTAAAAGATCTGTGGAAGAAAATCTGCCATCACAGCAGCGGGATGGAATTTCAGGATCACCGCTACTGGCTGAGAACACATCCCAACTGCATTGTCGGAAAGGAGTTAGTCAACTGGCTAATCAGAAATGGACACATTGCTACAAGGTATTATAATTTTAAGATGTTTTGAAATTATTCATTAGTTTATTGCTTATTAATGACGAGGATGTATATTTGAATATGTAAGGGTATCTTTTGCGAGTTATGATGATGTTTTATGGATTTGATGGTTTGAGGAACAAGCTCTTTAACTTCCTTCATCTGATGAAAATGTTTGCAAGAACCTGATTGGGGTCACAATTTACTATACTTAAAAACAAGGACTTGCAGCTGGTGAGATGAATCAGTGGGTGAAGGCACTTGTTCCTAAGCCGGAAGACCTGTGTTGGACTAACCAAATCCTCATGCTACAAGAGGAGGACTAATACGGTGAAAAGCCCCATGGGAAAAACTGGGTGCAACAATGTACACCTGTAACCCAGCTCGGGGGCAGAGGCCAGAGGTTCAGCTGGTGAGCTGGTCTAATTGTAATTGACGAACTCCAATTATCTATAGTGAGATACCCGTCTCAAAAGATAGGTGGGCATCAATTGAGGAAGACACTTCCTGTTGATTCAGCTGCTCGCTTCACCACGTGAGCACCCGTGTGCACACAAACACACAGGACCTGAAACAAGCAGTAACTCTTCAGATGGAGCCCTAGCGAAGCTGGATAGGAGACTGTGGCTAGAGTCTAAGGTCAAAGGGTTTCCTTGTCACTCTTCTGTAATCCAGACATTGAGTCCGTAACTCATTTCTGGAGGGACCTAGTCTGTCTCAGAGATCACATATAAAACATATGACAGACAGGATCTGCTGTTTTTTGTGTTAGCTACTTTTCTGTTGCTGTGATATTATACTATGTCCAAGGAAATTTATAGAAGAAAGAATTTATTTTGGCTTAAGGTTACAGAGGGTTAAAGTACATAATGATGGGTATCTTAGTTAGAATTTCTGCTGCTATGGTCAAACACCTTACATATATGTAACGACAATTAACTATAAAAAAAGAGGTCATGAATTTGAAAGAGAGCAGGGAGGGTGTGTGGGAGGGCTTGGAGGAGGAAAGGGGAGGGAGAAATGATGTAATTATAATCTCAGAATAAAAAAGAAAATTGAAAACAAAACACAACACAACAGCATGACCAAAGGCTCCTGAGGAAGAAAGGGTTTGTTTCAGCTTACAACATTCCGGTCACACTCCATCACTGAGGGAAGTCAGCACAGGAATTCAAGCAAGGGTGTAGAGGCAGGAACTGGAGCAGAAGCCTTGGAGGAATGCTGCTTACTGGCTTGCTCTCTCAGGCTTGCTCAGCCTCCTGCCAAGCGGTGGGAGCACCTGCAGTGTGTTGGGCCTTTCCCTGTCAGTTATTAATCAAGAAAATCCTCCAGAGGTTTGACCACAGGCCATTCTAGTGGGGGCATTTTCCCAAGTAAAGAAAAACAAAAATAAACAGAAAACAAAACAAAAACCCTAAACAGAACAGCAGCAGTAGCATTCCAGCAGGCAGCAGGCATGGCGAGAAGAACAGGGTCTTAGAGCTCATATCTTGAACCACAGTAGAAGGGCAGGAGGTTTGCACCCTGAAAGTTGGCCTCCATTTACATAATTCCTCCAACAAAGCTTCATCTTTTAAATCCCCCCAAGCACTACCATCAACTAGGAAACACATCTAACATATGGGAACTGTCTCAGTCACTGTTCTGTTGCTGTGAAGAGACACCATGACTGTGGCAACTCTTCTTATAAAGGAAAACATTTAATTAAGTTTACAGTTTCTGAGATTTAGTCCACTACCATGGCAAGAAGTGTGGCATGCAGGCAGATGTGGTGCAGCAGAAGGAGTTGAGTTCTACATCTTGATCTGCAGGCAGCTGGAGGAGACTGTGTCCCACACGGGGTGTAGCTTGAGCATCTGAGACCTCAAAGCCCACCCCCACAGTGACACACTTTCTCCAAAGGCCATACCTCCTAATAGTGCCACTTCTATGTGCCAAGCTTTCAAATACATGAGTCTGTGGGGGCCATTCCTATGCAAACCACTACACCTTTCAAGTCTCTTAGTGTTTGATACTTGCTCAGATGAGTCTCCTCTCATGAGAAGGGATAAGAAAGAAATAGCAATAAGCAGGGAACCTCTGGGTCATAATTTGGTTGTAAGTCTTTTTACTTTTGTGTCTTTAGTCAAACTTTTCAATCTCTTTGAAATTTGGACCCCTTAGTTTCAATGTAGGGAAATGATTTAGTATTGTAAGTAAGCTGTGGGTATTGAACAAAATAATGTTGGCTGAGTGCTTTATAAATTTGTGAAATGTCATATACTGTAATGTGTTGTTTCCATTTCATTCATGTATTTCATATCTCTTGAATATTTGTGTTTTTTTTTTTTTTATCAGAACAGGAAGTTGTTTGAGTATTGGAACCATGCCATTCTCAGTGTTTTTACTTTGTTGAGTGTGAATGCCTCATGTACCCAGTGCATGCTTACTGAAATTCAGATAAGCTTGGTTTTAGGTCTACTTACCAGTAGTTTCTCCTTCGCTATAGTGCCTAGTAGAGTTTGTTTTCAGTAGTTCTTTCTTATCCCTATTTATCTAAAGACCATTTGATAGTTTCTCTTAGATTAGAAATAAAAATTTAAAAAAAGAAGTGTTTTATTATGTGCCTGACATACATTACTCTGTATGACTTTGTAAAATTTCAGTTTTCTTGGTCTTGATTTAGGGCACAAGCGATAGCAATTGGACAAGCGATGGTTGATGGACGTTGGCTGGACTGTGTCAGTCATCATGACCAGCTTTTCAGGGACGAGTATGCTCTGTATAGACCGTTGCAGGTAATTGGTAGGGATACTGCTGATAAGAATGTAGTAGCTCGTTTGGAAATTCTGTTTTCGTTAGTAGGACTAAAAAGTGGGTGAATGGCCTAAAGACTGTTTCTAAACCTCTCAGACTCAGTGCGGGGGACGTGCTCCTCCACTGAGTGACCTCCCTCCAGGATCAGGTCTGTAGGGTGCTGTGTCTTTGCTCACACTGGGCTGCTGGTACTTATTTTACTTGCCATTTAATTTTAATGCTTTTCATTTTTACTTTCTTCATCTTGAGGACTAAGAGGGAGATTTTAGAACTAAGAGTGGAAATCAAAGTGACTTGAAAATTTGATATTAGCTATTGAGATAGATTTTGACTCTGTATACAAGTCATACACTAACGATTTAAGGCTAAAATTTATTTTATAAGAATGAAAATTATTTATAGATAATTATGTTTGTTTGTTTTGTTTTGTTTTTTTGAGACAGGATTTCTCTGTGTATCCCTGGCTTTCTGGAACTCACTATAGACCAGGCTGGCCTTGAACTTAGAAATCTACTTGCTTCCACCACCTGGCTATAGATAAATTTTTTAGAAAAGATGTGATTCTTTAAATTTTGGTTTGCTGGGGGCTGGAGAGATGGCTCAGTGGTTAAGAGCATTGCCTGCTCTTCCAAAGGTCCTGAGTTCAATTCCCGGCAACCACATGGTGGCTCACAACCATCTGTAAAGAGGTCTGGTGCCCTCTTCCGGCCTGCAGGCATACATACAGAAAGAATATTGTAAACATAATAAATAAATAAATAAATAAAATTAAATTTTGGTTTGCGTAAAAGAATACACACACACACGCACGCACATGCATATATTCATATGGTGAAACTGTGAGCAGCTTGTGAACGAAGATTTATAAACTGAAATTGGAAGCCCCATAATTAGAAATGACCAGTAGCCTCATAGAGTGGTGTGCTATAATTTGTTAGAATCGGATTGTTTTCTAGGCGGTTAGAGTTGCCAGGGTTAGACTACATTTTATGCTATCTTCACCCAGCACTAAAGGATGAAGTGAGACCTTGCCACCTACATATCAAAGAAATGTTTATTTGTAAAATGCTACATTTGCTTTGCAGCAGTGAAAATTATAATTTTAAGAGTATGATTATCGGGCTGGAGAGACGGCTTAGAGGTTAAGAGCACCTGCTGCTCTTCCAGAGGTCCTGAGTTCAATTCCCAGCAACACATGATGGCTCACGACCATCTATCATGAGAGCTGGTGCCCTCTTCTGGCCTGTACATGCTAGCAGAACACTGTATGCATAATGAACAAACAAATAGTGTGGTTATCAATACGATACTACTGCTTTGTACCTCCTTCTTGTTACTTAGCTGCTTTTATGTGAATGTCTTGGGTTGGTAGGGTTATAGAAGTGTGGGCCACGACTTCTCTCTCATGTACTGATGCTGTCACTCAGGCTCAGTCGCTCCGTCTGCTTTGCTCTTTCAGAGTACCGAGTTTTCTGAAACACCTTCTCCAGACAGCGACTCAGTGAACTCTGTGGAAGGACACTCTGAACCATCCTGGTTTAAAGACATAAAATTTGATGATAGTGACACAGAACAGATTGCTGAAGAAGGCGACGATAATTTGGCTAGTAAGTTTGGCTTTCGAATGTTGTAGTGTTTATGGCTTATTGCTGTGCTGGAATGGTGAAATGATTGTCTTGTGTATGATTTATGGTTCCCACTTGATGTCAGCATGTGATAGTAGTGATCCTTGCTTAGATACAGTATTTTCTGAAGGCAGCTTGTAGGTCAACTGACATTTCTGGATGTTGCCATGGCCTCTAGTTTGCAGCAGCTTAAAATAAACTCTTGAGCTAATATTGCAGCAGGCAGCTTTCTTATCTCTCCACTGTGGTATCGACTCTCTCTCTGCAGAACCTCCAGTATATTTTCTCTTTAAAACCTCTTTTAAAAATTCGTTTTAAATTTAACATGCTTAAATTTATTAAGTCTACCCAGAAGAACGTGAAAATACTGTATCCATTTTGGTATTGCACATTGGGCTTGTGTATTAAAATTTTTTTCCTTTCATCCAATGCCCTGATAAAACCCATTTTTACTCCCCTCTCCCTGTATTCCTTTCCCCCTCCCAACACTAAAAGATTCTGCCAGCCCTAGCAAGCGCACCTCAGTCAGCAGTTTCCAGTCCACAGTGGACAGTGACTCAGCCGCCTCTATCAGCCTGAACGTGGAGCTGGACAACGTCAACTTCCATATCAAGAAGCCCTCCAAGTACCCACATGTGCCCCCTCACCCTGCTGACCAAAAAGGTAGGAGGCAGTCACCACCTGGATGGGCCCTAGGGTCTCATTACAGCCTGTCCTCTGCCTTCCTCTGTCCCAAAAGGCTGACGGGCTCTGGAGTGGGTTTTGTTCTGATCCCCCTCACCCCGTACTCCTCCCCACACCTTTTTTTGTTGATTCTTTTTATTTCTTATTTTCTCCCTTTGCACTACCATGCCCAGTTTAAAGCATATAGTCTTTAAAAGGAACTGTATCTGACTGTTCTTCCCATAATGTGCAACTTCCAAGGTGGAAATTCTTTGCATTTATAACATGGACGTTCTGCTCTATTCTTTTGTCTTTTCCTCATTTAACATCACAAATCCTCTTTGCCTGTGCTGTTCTGCTTGAGTGTAGATGGGGGAAATCATTCATTTATGTTCATTACATTTATTTTAAAATGTCTTCTCTAGTAAGAAATGAATTCTTTTGTAATTAATTCTTTAGCTGTCTTATTTGATTTTTTAGTTTGTGAACTCGAAAATACTAATGACCACATTAAAAAAAATCCAAAAAACAAAAACATGATGTAAAAGGAAAGATACAGCGAACCTTTTCTAATATGTAACATAGCAGCATGAATTGATTGCTCCTTTTTAAAAATGTAGGATGAGATATATATTATTAGATACAATTAGAAACTAAGTTCAGGTATAAACCTAATGAAGCTAATGCACCATTTTTTTCAAAGAAAATAAAATAAGTAATTATGGGAGTTCATTTAATAATAATCATCATCAAAACATCTTTATTATAAATATGCTTAATTCCATGGTTTTATGCAGTGTTTGAATTTTAAACATTTAACTCTGTAAAACTGAATTGCTTATGAAATGGTTGCCTGATTCTTTGTACTCTTTACTTTGAACCTAAAAATAATAAAAATTTAATAGAACCTAAAAGTTTATTTCATAATTTGAAATATTTACATCCCCCAACAAATTTCTCATAATTGTCAACTATTATCAAGATGTGATAAAATGTTAATTAAGATAGTGATAATAAAAGGTGCTTCTTATTTAAAGAATAAGGCACAGAGAGAGAGAGAGACAGAGAGAGACAGAGAGACAGAGAGAGAGAGAGAGAGGAGATTTGACCATAGGTGAGCTTTTGGGTGAGTGTGAAGGGCATTGTGGAGATCTGACCCTTGTCAGACTGTACTGTATGCCACAGTTCCATGAGATTAGGTTTTTGATAGGGATGGGGTCAGCAGAAGACTGTCGCGACAGGACATCTGCCCTCTGAACATGCATGCTAGCTGAGTGTAAAGTACACTTGCTGTTTGCTGGTGGTTTTACCCCTTGTAATGTTAAGGATGTCCTGAAAAGTTTGAAAAAGTAGTCTTTGATCATAGAATTCCTAATGGCAGAGGGTGGACTGCTAAGCCGGCACACATACACTTTAGGAAGGAAACCTAACTCAGAATGTTGGGTGAGGAATGGAACTGGAGACTTCAAAAATGACATTTTTGCCAACCTCAGTATAACTCCCTGGAGAATAAAAAGAGAGATACTTGCAATTGAAAGCTCATGATTCTTCTTGGAAACTGTCTTGCTTTAAATCTTTAAAAAAACTTTTTAAAGATGTGAGCGGTAGCTGTCACGTGATGATAAGTCTGAAAGAAGGTTACATACTTGTTAAGAAAAATAGCAGGAGGCTAGAGAGGTGATGGGCCAGTGGTTAAGAGCGCTGGCTGCTCTTCTAAAGGACCTGGGTTCAATTCCCAGCACCCACATGGCAGCTCACAGCTGGTCCATGACTCCAGTTCCGAGGAATCTGACACTCTCTCACAGACATATGTGAAGGCAAAATACCCAATACATATAAAATTTAAAAAAAATAAGAAAAATGACAAAGATCTTTATGATAACTAGTATAACACGAGAAACATGTTAAGAGTATTCTCTTGAGTTAAGGATATAACTCTGGTATAGTGATTACCTAACAGGCTATGGAGTCTGAAATAGCTTTATAATAATCTGTTGCTTGGTTAAAATGCTAAAATGATCATTGTCTATTAGATGCTAGTAGGCAGAGGATGTCCTAAGTTACCCTATAGGGCTTTGCTTCCCATAGTCATGATTGCCCAACACTTATTAGTGTAGATTAATAGTATAAAATAATAGGTTTCATTATGACTTTTTTCATATATTCATAAATCTGTTCACATTTGTATTTGGGAGTTATATGGTATAAAGTGATGTAATGACGTTTGTGTTTAAAGAACAATGAGTCAATAAAACCAGTTCACATCTGGCATCTCAGGAACTAACTTCTTTTTTATGACAAGAACCTTCAAATTTTACTTTCTTAGGAATTTTGAAATATCTACTACACATTACCATATTGCATCAATCATGCTATAAAGTAGATCTCAGTTCCTTTTCATAACTGAAACTTCCTACCCTAGACCAGTACTTCCCTGTTCTCCCTATTCCCTGGCCACTGGCGCCTACTATTCTACCTACTGTGAGCTTTATTTTTGTATGGAAACATGCAAAGCATAGTGTGTTTGGTACATGTTGGAGTCAGCAGTGCTACTACTAATACTGACGTCTAGTTGTGTAGCTTGCTTGAATGATTGTGTACAATATTGAAATGATACCAGCAGGAAGAAGATCCTCCTAGGTTTTGTTATAGGACTTGCCATGTCTATAGTCAGTTTGCTTAGCACTTTGTGTATGGGGGTTGTGTGGGACATATGTTTATATGAAATCTTGTGTATGTGTGTGTATGGAGGAGGCCAAAGGTCAACATTGGCTATCTTACTCAGTATTGTTCTTTACCTTATTTTTTGAGACAGGTGAATCTGGAACTTGCTGATTTTGTTAGACTGCCTGGTTGACAAGCCCCAGGATCCTCCTGTTTCTATTTCCTCACTGCAGGATTACAGGCGTGTGCTGCTACATCCAGACTTCTTTACACGAGTGCTTGGAATCTAGACTCAGGTTCTCATGCTTGTGTGACGAGCACGTTGCAGGCTGAGTCATCCCCTCAGTTTCTGTTCGATACTTTATAAACATTTCCATTTCCATTTTTATGTATATTGTTGTTTTGCCTGCGTGTATGTATGTGTACCATGTGTGGGCCTGGTGCCTGTAGAAGCTAGAAGAGGCCAGTAGATTTGCGGTACCTAGATTTGTGGATGGTTGTGAACCACCATGTGGGTGCTGGGAATTGTACCCAGGTTCTTTGGAAGAGCAGCTAGTGCTCTAACCACTGAACCAGCTCTTCAGCCCCTGTTCAGTAGTTTTTTATAAGTGTGTGTAGTAACTGTCTAGAATAATGCATTTCATTGTGCTATTTTCATATATGCATAGAACATACTTTGTATATTCTAAAATTTGTTCTAAGAAAGTATTGACCAAGGGCCAATGGAGAAATAAAGGCTTAATGTCATTGTCCCTAAGGTATCTGAAAGAAAAGATGGGAATTTTGTATGTAAAATAGTCAAGTTCAATAGTTAGGGGTAGTGAGATTCTGCCACTTGGCTTTGGAGGTGTTCACGTTGAATCTGGATGTCCACCTGTCAGGATTATGGAGGACAGATGCTAACATCTGGTTAGAGATTAGCTGGATTTAATGTCCTTCCGATTTTCTTTTAGCTCCAAATCTGTGAGATGAAAATCTGGCCTTAGAACTTATGAGAGTGTTCCTTTAGCTCACTCAGCAAGACTATTAGAAAAGAGGGTTTACCACTAGAAAGAGGATAGTTTTTAGGTGGATCTGATTGGTTGTTTACAACCCTGATAGTCTTCGTTTGTGATGTGAGGACTTAAGAGTCTCTACCTGTTCTTGCCCTCACAATTCCCTCTCACTAGCCTTTCTTGTACTAATGAGAATTCTTATTGTCTGGCGAAGCTGAAATAGAAGGAAATATTTTACTCTGTGGTAGTTAAGTCGAACACTGACTGCTAACAAGAAAAGATTATCAAAGTAACTCAGAATTTTGTGAAGGAATAGAGTCTGCCTATGTGAGCAGGGATGCTGGCTTTATCCTTCTTGTGGATTGCCCTTTATTTCACCTGTGTGTGTGTGTGTGTGTGTGTGGGTATCTACCATCTGCCTGCCTGCCTGCCTATCTGTCCGTCCGTCCGTCCGTCCGTCCGTCCATCCATCCATCCATCCATCCATCCATTTTATTCATATGAGTGCTCTATATGCATACTAGAAGAGAGCATCAAATCCCATTGTAGATGGTAATGACCCATCATGTGGTTGATGGGATTCGATTTCAGGACTTCAGGAAAAAACAGCTAGTTAGTGCTCTTAACCACTGAGTCATCTCTCCAGCCTGTCCTTTATTTCTTATAGCTGAAGGAATTTAGATTTTTAAAAGTACTGAAATATCCATACTTAAAAAGTTGCTTTTTAAAAAATATTCTATAAGACAGCCTCAAAAGCTTGGAAAACTTGGTGTGCTTTCTGGTTTAATAATTTTTCATTTTTTTGAATATTTGTATTATTAAAATATATTGTGTTACAAGCAGGATTCTGAGCTGTTTTTAGAAAGTTAGTGACTAGACTTTGACACTGGTGAAAGCCATGGCTCTATAATCCCTTTGAGTAGCTTTTTCATGCATAGAAAACATGGGATTGAGGAGCAAGTTCAACACACCGTGGGGAAACACTGGATCATATCTAGAAAGGGGGACTTTGTGTAGGACATTTGCCTGGTTCTGTCAGAATTCATTATTGTGGAAAGAAAGTAGGAGGTGTGTTCTAGATGAAAAGAGAGTGAGGAGGCATAGCAAGAGGAGTCCTTTATAAATTGATGGGCTCCAGACTCTGTAAATAGATCAGTGTGAATATGGATCCGTTCTGTGTCGCGTCACAGTATCTGTGTTTTCCTAAGTGTTTACAGGATGTGGTGGCTACAGAGAACAGTGCCCTTGGTTTTTTTGTTTGTTTGTTTTGTTTTTGAGATGGGTTTCTCAGTACAGCCTTGGCTGTCCTGGAACTTGCTCTGTTGGTCTGCTTGAACTCAGGGAGACCCACCTGTCTGCCCCCCAGTGCTGGCAGTAAAGGTGTGCACCACCACCACCTGCCTGAGTGGCCTTGTTTAAAGAGAGGCATCCTGATGTGCTACTTGAAAAGTGTTGTGTGTAACTTGAATTAATTGGGATAACTTACATTTAAAATTTTTTTCTGTTTACACGTATGTGTGCATATCTGTGAGTATGGGTGTAGGGTACTGTGGAACTGTAATACAGAGTTGTGAGCCATCATGTGGGTGCTAGGGATGGAACCCAGGTCCTCTGGGAAACAGCAGATATTCTTTACCCCTGAGCCATTCCTCTAGCTGCAGGGTAACTTTAAAAGCATGTACAGATATACAGAGAAAACAGATATGACAAGTCTTCAATAATTACTGAATCTAGGTGGACAGTAGACAGGACTTTTTGTGTATTTTAATTTTTCCATAATGTAAGGAGTAAACCATCACTTCTGGAATTTGATATCTTAAGTTTTAGTATGAGAAGTAGGGCTTTTAAAGAACAATGCATGGGTTGAACTAACAGAATTTGGCATTGCTTATTTCTGCCAGAAATAAATTATAGAAACAAATTGTATCTATGTACCTGATTGTATTGTATGATGTTCTTCAGTTATAATGTTTTCTCTGCTTCCTGACTGCAAGGGTGAATGTATTGGCTTGGAAATGAAGTCAGAAAAAATTTGTGGAGAATATTCACATTAAGATAGTCAATTCTTTGCGGTTTAGTTTGCATAGTAGAAAGAACTCCTCTAAGCTGTGTCTCGAGGAAAGTTCACTTGTGGAAGTGTTTAGATTTTAAATGCTGTGAAGGCATTCCGAGTCTGTTCATTAGCTTTCTTCTAAAGATTTGGTAGTAAGCTAGAAGTTGTAAAGAACCAAAAACTGACTTTAAAACTTAACCACAAAATTCCTGAAATTATATCTATATCATCTACCATATGAATTCATTTTATTGCTTATATTCTGAAGTTAAAATAGTTATTCTGTTCTCTTAGGTGGCTTCTTCTATGAAGTACTGTATATATAGATAGTTATTGTTAGATAATGCAGTAGTACGTGAGGAAAGTGGTGTGGTATTTTAAGGCTTATTATACTAATCACTAAAGACCTTTGCTTTTCTTATGTTTGTTTTAAAGAAACAAGAGAGAGGTTATCCTGGAGCCATTTTGAGTGACTGTGGCCCAGGAACACAGATTTAGGTTACCTCAGTTTCCATGTTTCAGCATGGAAGCAGTTTTCTAAATTAGTTCTGTTTTGGCAACTAAGCATCATTTGGAAAAATATATGTTAAAATGCCTGACATTTGAGCCAAGGCAAATTGTTTAATGGTTCTGTTGTCAGTTTAAGTCTACTGAAAATAGTGTAATATGAAATATATAGAACCTGTGTATAGACACATCTGAGTGAAATGTTTCTGAAGTTTTCTGGAGAGCCGTGCACACTGTGCGTGGGTGTTCTGCATAATTACGCTGGCCTGTTGAAGTCATGTGTCTTCCTTCCTCTTCTCTCTTCTCCTCCTGGTTTGCAGAGTATTTGGTTTCCGACACTGGAGGACAGCAGCTCTCAATAAGTGATGCCTTCATCAAAGGTAATTCTACAAACAACTGTACTCGAAATGAAGTCTGTTTCATGATGGTGTGCTTGAGGTATTAACACGTTGACAGAAAGTGCTGAAAGTATATTTAATTAATATCATAGGAACATAATTTTAAATATGTAGAATGACTTTTGAGTATGTTGGAAGTCAGGCATACAAACTTGGTCTTGATTTGAGAGAGAATTTTTTTTTATAAATATTTATTTATTTATTTATTGTGTGTACAATATTCTGTCTGTGTGTATGTCTGCAGGCCAGAAGAGGGCACCAGACCTCATTACAGATGGTTGTGAGCCACCATGTGGTTGCTGGGAATTGAACTCAGGACCTTTGGAAGAGCAGGCAGTGCCATCTCTCCAGCCCTTGAGAGAGAATCTTTACTTTAAAAATGATTGTTTAATTTTTTGAGTAGTTTGTATTTTATTCTTTATAGGCAGTGTATAAAAGTGAATATTGATATGCATATTGTCAAGGAGTGCCTCTTTGCCAAAAAGCTCACAAGTGAGCTTATCACTTGAATTTGGTGTTTGCCCTCTACAGTTGGGAAAAGAAGTAGGCAAAGAGAATAAAGCACCAAATCTACGATGAGTTTCATTGAGACTAAAGAAGAGTAGATGAGTACAGATCTCTCCTACCTTTAACTTAAACTTTGCTTCCATGGAGAAAGACAAAGGGAGAAAAAGACTCCTCCAGTGGTCATCTTAGTTCCTGGGGTTTTAGAAAAAGAGAGAAGGTAGGGCAAGTTGGAATAAGGAGGCAGTGGCAGCTGATCTGGCTTGATACTCTATCTAAATTTACCTGCCAACATCTAGCTCAACTGGAAGTTTATAGACTGGCTGTTCATTATCGGGAAGTGCCAGTCTTGTGCCTTATGTACCATGTTTTATAGAAGCTGGTGTGCTCTACAAGAGAAAGCACGAGAATTTTGTCTTTTCATTTGTTGTCATAGTAATCAATGATTATTTAATGCACACGTTTTGTAAAACATTACTGTTTTAACTTTTTGTAATTTATTTTGACCTTTTAAAAATTACTATTTTTATCTTTTAAAGTCATGTGTAAGAAGTGTGTGTCTACATGTGTTTATGTGCATGTGAATGCAGGCGCCCGCAGAACCTGGAGATTTAGTTACAGATGGTTGTGAGCTGCCTAATGTGGATGTTGAGAATTCACCTCCAGTCTTCTGGAAGAGCAGCAGGTGCTCTTAATTTCCCAGCTTCGAAAGCAGTGTAGACCAGGCTGGCCTCAAGTTCATAGAGATCTGCCTTTTTTTGCCCCCTGAGTTCTAGGATTAAAGATGGACATGACCACACCCAATCATTTCACTGTTTTTAAAAATTTAAAGACTTCAAATTAGTTTTATTTAGTATAACTTTTTTAAGTTTTTTTTTTTGTCAACTTTGTTAAACTTTTGTTTTAAAGCCTATATTGTAAAAATACAGTGGAGACTGTGTTGAGAGACTATACTGTCATCTGGGGCTGGGGTGTCCCTGAGAATTTCTCTCTTGAGAATTCAGTGCACACATGACTCTGTTATTGTCACCATTCAGGCTTCAATTGAATGTGGTTTTCAGTTTATGATTTTATGGGCAAAATCTGCATTCTTTTAAAACTTTAAAACAAACAATGCAAAAATATTCTGTTTGTCTTTTAGGATTGATGTTGATACTCTTGACTGAGAGTCTCTGTTCTCAGGTCAAGTCACTTTTCATAGCTGTGCTCAGGTTTTGGCTAATGCCAGGTGTTTCTGGGTTCCCCCTACCATGCAGGCTCTTGCACATGATACAGAAGCACTATACCTCAAGCTCTGCTTCTGCAATTTAGTGTATTGATGTGTGTATTGTTGATACAGATTTTATTATATATTTAATTGTGTGTTGTACAGGTCTTAGCTGTTTTATAGCAATAATTTATATCAATCAACTTAAGATACTTTTATTTTCTAAGTATATGAGTTGATGGTGTAAAACATGACAGTGAAATACTAACTTCTTATTTTGTGTTTAGAATCTTTGTTTAATCGTCGAGTAGAGGAAAAATCCAAAGAACTGCCCTTTACCCCTTTGGGCTGGCATCATAACAACCTGGAGCTCTTGCGGGAGGAGAATGAGGAGAAGCAAGCCATGGAAAGGCTGCTGTAAGGCACTAGATTTTTATTTTCAGTGGCTTGGACATATGCATAATTCCTCTTCCTTATAAAGTGGAAAATACTAATAGAAAGTGTATTCTGACTTCTGATGACGTAGCTCATAAAACAGAATCCCAACCTGATTGTCTCCATTTTAGTTTATGTGTTAGACTCTTCATTGAACAGTTTGAAGGTGCTTTCTTACTTTGAAGATATTCACAGAGTTCTATTATGTGCAGAGTCATGGTGAAGATATATTGAAGGAATGAAATTGGCATGGAAGATCTTATCTGTTAACCATAATTGGAATGTTTCTTTGTAGAGTGCTTCTTGTGTCTTTAGTCCTCACTGCAGACTTGTTTCTGTGACATTTTGTAGCTCAGCTAATCATAACCACATGATGGCACTACTCCAGCAGTTGCTTCACAACGAGTCATTGTCATCGTCTTGGAGGGACATCATTGTGTCCCTAGTCTGCCAGGTTGTTCAGACAGTCCGACCTGATGTTAAGCACCAGGATGATGACATGGATATCCGCCAGTTTGTCCACATCAAGAAGGTGAGCTCTGCTAATGTTTGCCGATGCTAGGAACTGATGGGGCAGAGCTAATAGTCATTTATCTCTTCATGGTGATCCGAAAGGAACCGTTACTGTGAGGCTGTTTGCTCTACAGTACAAGTGGAGCTCTTGGAAGCTGTTCATAGGAAGTGAGAGGTGCGTGGAAAGAGTGAGATGGGTGTGTGATGAGGACCAAAATAAATATAATTGCTTCCTTTGTTAATGCTTCTTTTTGGAAAGTCATTCATGAGAAAGTCTGTTCTCATAGACTGTTGACACTGTCATGGGTTAGTTGCTTTAGTTAGATAAGTTCTGAATATATTTAACTTGTAATAGTTAATGTTAAAAGTATTGCCACAGACACCAGCTTATTTAGTCAATGAGTATTTTAGAGTAGCACATTTGGTGTTAGAGATTAGAGGGTAGGAGAACACAGTCATGGTGAGATAACATGAGATGACAAGAACTGTATTCTGAACCTTTATGCCCTTACTTAGTGATGTTAATTATGGTAACAGTTCAAAGGTGTAAAGACATAATAGTGCTGATAAAGTCGGAGGATATATCACTGGTTCTTATTGTTTTCTTGTTTTATTAGATTCCAGGTGGAAAGAAATTTGATTCTGTGGTTGTTAATGGCTTTGTTTGTACCAAGAACATTGCACATAAAAAGGTAATGAGTTTCAGTTCAGCAGACCATGGCTATGTACTAAGCTCATAAGTTGGAATTTCTCAATTATGGAACAAAAGGAGATGTTGAAGGGTACCTAGCCATGTATTTCATAGAGGCAAAAGTTTGGAGATTCCAGGAATATCTCAGAGGGCTGATGATGAATTGGGATTTGAATATGGAAATTCACAAGACAGAAGAAGGAAGAAGGGAAGAGTCAGGTTTCCAGATCAACAGTGGGCACCATACTGGTATCATGACTCCCTATTCCCTGCTTCCAGGCAGAGTTTTTCTGAAAGGCTGTATTCCTTTAAATGGTGTAGTTTTCTACAACTGGTCTTCCTGCAGAATTGTCATTAGTTTTTTATGCTTCTCACCTATTATAGCTCTATCTTCAGTTCCAAGCCGTCTTCTCTGCACTAGCACAAAAAAGGAGGTTAGGTTAGATATTGAGTGTTCAGGAATCTCGAAACACAAAAGTATAAAATGTTACAGTGTCAGACAATACTAAAAGAAGCAGGCAGGTTTCCTGTGTCCCACCAAGAGTTTCGAACTTCTGAGGGCTTTTGAGTCTCAAAGTACAGTGTATATCAGTATTTTCTGGGCACCTTGCTAAATATATGGACCCCTAAACTTAAACTGTCTCACTCAGTAGGTTTAAGGGAGTAGGAAAAGGTAGCTAAGTGAAGGGAAGGATGGTATTGCACTGAAAGTAGGCACTGTGGATGTCTCAGTGTCATCTGTTGGTTGTCATAATAAATAAATTTTTACTGATTTACTTTCTCTGTGTGTTTTGCTTGCATGTTTGTGCACCATGTGTGTGCCTGGTGTCCATGGAGATCAGAAGAGGGCATTGCATCTGCTGCTGCTGGAACTGGAGTTAACAGATGGTTGTGAGCTGCCATGGGTGCTGGGAATTGTACACCAGCTGCTCTTAACTACTTCAGCGCCCTGATCTTTACATTTTGAGAAACTATAGCAGCATTCTCAGACCTTGCTATACTTCCAGACCATCAAGAAAACTTTATAAAACTTGGGATACCTTGGCCTTATCACAGGAGATATTGATTTTATTGCTGGAAAAGTTGAGACAGCTGTTCTAATCTAGGAAAGAAACTGGACCTGTAGTCCAGTTTTACTCTTTTCTAAGTATAGACTAATACAGTTGTCTCTGAGTTATTGCAGGTTATGGATTCCAGGGTCTCAAGGGAATGCTGAAATCTGGTGCTCAGGCTCTTTATATAAGCTATTGAATACGTTCCTATAGACTTGAAATCATCTTTAGATGACTTACCATGGCAACTACAATGTAGGTGTTGTATAAATAGTTGTTATGCTAGTGTGTTTAGGTCCTAATAAGTTATAATATTAGAAAAAGATAATTTGTACATGCTTAGGACACATAGCCCCTCTCCAGTCTTGCAAGATACTTTCTATCCACAGTAAGTCAAATCTAGGATGTGGAAATTACTGGTATAGAAAGCTGGCTTTAAGACATTTAGCCTTTAGAAAATTGTTAATGGTCACATAAATAATATGATGGTATTCGATATTATTTCTTAGACATTGTCCCAAAATCACTGGGTGTTTGCATATATAATCTTATAAAACAGTATATTACCCTTTTAAGACAGAATGTCAAACCAAAATAAGTAACGTTTATTGAAGTAAGAGTAAGCATGTTAACTGGGTGGTGGCGTCATATGCCTTTAACTCCCGCACTCAGGAGACAAAAGCACAGATTTCTGTGAGTTTGAGGCCAGCCTAGTCCACAAAGTGAGTTTCAGGACAGTTAAGACTATACAGAGAGCCGGGCGGTGGTGGTGCATGCCTTTAATCCCAGCACTCGGGAGGCAGAGGCAGGCGGATCTCTGGGAGTTCGAAGCCAGCCTGGTCTACGAGAGCTAGTTCCAGGACAGGAACCAAAAACTACCGAGAAACCCTGTCTCGGGGGAAAAAAAAAGACTGCACAGAGAAACCCTGTCTTGGAAAACCAAAAGGGGGAAAAGGACTAAGTATGTTATGTCTTTTCAGAAGTTGAAGAAAATCCTGTAGGAGAAGTAGAAATATAGTCATGAATTATTGGTTTACCTCACTGATCATATTTAGACATAGTCTTTAATTTTAGAGCCTGAATATATTTTTCCCTGTTGACTGAAGTTTCTGTCCCACCTGGTCCTTCAGTTGTTCAGTCCCAAAGAAAACACACAGAGGTCTACATTAATTATAAACTTATTGGCCTATAGCTCAGGCTTCTTATTAACTTAAAACTTATATTAGCCCATAATTCTTGTCTGTGTTAGCCACATGACATGGTACCTCTTTTGGCGAGGCAGTCACATCTTGCTTGCTCTGTGTCTGGCTTCCTCTGTGTCTGAGTGACTGCAGACTGCCTCTTCCCAGAATTCTCCTGTTCTCATTACCCCACCTCAACTTCCTGCCTGGTTGCCTCACCTCTACTTCCTGTCTGGCTACTGGCCAATCAACATTTTATTAAACAAGTACAAGAAACAAATCTTTACAGGGTAAAATCATTGTCCCACAGCACCCCAGCTAGTTACTGTTCTTAGAACTGTTGCCAGTTTGGGCTGTGTGAGCTGGGTCAAACTGAAAGCTTGATGGTAGGACCCAGGCTATTTTCCATGTGGCTTTAGTTGCATGGTTGAGTGTTGGCATGAATTTCTGCTTTTTGAAAATGATTTAATGTGTTTTAACCTCTTTTAACCTCACATTACATTACCCAGTTGAGCTTGCCAGTTTAAGATTGTTGGGGAATTTATTGTGTTAGAATAATGTTCAAGTGCCATTACATTTTCCCCTTTCTTTTCTACTTTTGAAGTTTAGAAAGACTGAAATATACTTCCAACGTTGCTGATCTAGAGTGTGTGAAATAGTCTGCATATAATACTTATCACCACCTAGGGCATGCTGTTTCTTCTTACAGCATGAGAATTAGAAAAGAAAAACATAGTATATATATATATATATATATATATATATATGTTTTAGTATATAGTAAATGAAAATATAAGAGTAAAGAGGAATAGATAAGAAAAAGTTGCTTTGAAGAACTTGCTTTGAAAAAATTAAAGTGAATAACCCAAAAGTAATAAATTGGAGTTTGATAATGCTAATTAGTAGGAATATAAGAAATTAAAATTATGATTAAAAGTCTATAAAGTGCAAACCTTTAACAAACTTTTTTTTTTTTAGATGAATTCTTGTATTAAAAATCCCAAAATCCTTCTGTTGAAGTGTTCCATTGAGTATCTCTATAGAGAAGAAACTAAGTTTACTTGCATTGATCCTATTGTGCTTCAGGTAAGAATTTCTGGAAGAAGTAATTTGATGGGATGAATGCTCACATTTTGTGCTGCTTGTTACATAGAAAATGTTTATTGTACACGGCAGGTTTCTGTTACACTTTAGTAGGTAGCTCACCCAAATCTCCTTCACTCGTTTCTGAAGTTTCAGAGTGATAAAGGAGCATGTGACTGGGAGTGTATGGAAGAAAAAGTGAAAATTGAAGTTTGGATTTATTACTCTTCTCTGCTTTGGCTCTTGCTTTACTGGGACAGTTTCTCTAACTTCTCAAGTCTCTAATGGAACCTCCCATTTGTAATAGACTCCAACTAATACCTATTTGTAGAATTTAAATAGCTTGTATGTAGTTGCAAATAGAACAATATCTCAAGGTGGAGGTTGTGTTGGTTTCTTTCTGTTTCCTAAGTTAAGGGTACCAGAATAGCAGCCCTAAGTTACCTCATCTGGCTATTGTGAAAGATATTGTTTTCCTGATTTCTTTCTTAGTCAAGTTGTCTTGTGTGTATTAGGAGGGCTTCTGATTTGTTGAGTTAATCTTTTATCAAGCTACTTTGATGAAAGTATTTATCAGCTGTAGAAGTTCCCTGGTGGAAATGTTAGGGTCACTTTTGTATGCTTACATTATCTGTAAGTAAGTATACTTTGACTTCTTTCTAATTTGACTCCTTTCCAATTTGTATCCCCTTACTGCTCTAGCCTAGACTTCAAATACTACTTTGAATAGATATGGAGAGAATAGACAACCATGTCTTGTCCCTTTTTAGTGGAACTGCTTTGTGTTTCTCTCCATTAGTGTTGGCTGTAGGCTTGCTATAGATTGCCTTTATTATGTTCAGGTATGTCCTTTGTCCCCAATCTCTCCAGGACTTTTATCATGAAGATGTGTTGGATTTTGTCAAAGTTCTTTTCTGCATCTATTGAGATAACCATCTATTTTTTTTTTCAGTTTGTTTATATGGTGGATTACATTTACTGACATTTGAATGTTTAATCATTCCTGTATCTCTGGGATGAACCTTGATGGATGATCTTTTTGATGTGTTATTTGATTCGGTTTGGAAGTATTTTATTGGGGTTTTTGCATCTATGTTCATAAGGGAAATTGGTCTGTAATTCTTTTTCTTTGTTGAGTCTTTATATGGTTTGGTTATTAGGGTAACTGTGGCTCAGTGTTCCTCATGTGTCAATTTTGTGGAATAATTTGGGGACTGTTAGCATTAGTTCTTCTTTGAAAGTCTGGTTGAACTCTTAAAAAATCATCTGGCCCTGGACATTTTTTGGTTGGGAGGCTTTTATTGACTATTTTTATTTCACTGAAGGTTATAGATCTATTTAAATTGTTTATCTGATTTTGATTTAACTTTGGTAAGTGGTACCTATCAAGAAAATTAGCTGTTCTATAACATTTTCCAATTTGGTAGAATATATATGTCCTTATGTTTCCCTGGATTTCATCGGTGTGTGTTATTATGTCCCCCCTTTTATTTCTGATTTTGTTAATTTGGATATTTAGTTAGTTTGAATAAGGGTCTGTCTATCTTATTGATTTTTTCTCAAAGAACCAACTCTTTGTTTCATTGATTCTTTCTATTATTCTCTGTTTCTCTTTTATTGATTTCAGCTCTCAGTTTGATTATTTCTTGCCATCTATTCCTCTTGGGTGTTTTTACTTCTTTTTATTCTAGAGCTTTCAGGTGTGCTGTTAAGTTCTTACTATGAGAGTTCTCCAAATTTTTTTGTAGGCTCTTAATGCTATGATCTTTACTCTCAGTACCACTTTCATTGTGTCCCATAAATTTGGGTATGCATGTATTTAATTTCATTGGATTCTAGAAAGTCTTTAATTTTTTTTAAATTATCATTATTCAATAGGGAGTTGTTCAGTTTTCATGAGTTTGTAAGCTTTTTGTTTTTGATATTCAGGCTTAATCTGTGGTGGTCTGCAAAGAATTATTTCAGTTTTATTGTATCTGTTGAGACTTGCTTTATGTCTTAAGTATGTGGTCAGTTGTGGAGAAAGTTTCATGAGGTGCAGAGAAAAAGGTATATTCATTTGTGTCTGGGTGAAATGTTCTGTAAATATCTCTTAGTTCTGTTTGGTGTATAATGCCTGTTAGCTCCAGTATTTCTATGTTTAGTTTTTGTCTAGATGGCCATCCATTGGTGAGAGCGGGGTATTGAAGTCATTACCAGTGTATGTAATTCTTTTTGTTTTGTTTTGACACAGCTCTCCTCTCCCATTAATACTATTGATATAGTTTGTGATCATTCAAAATACGTGGTTTTTAGGAATGTAAATGTCATATACATGGAAACATTTAAACTTAGTTCCAGAAATATTTAGGTAAAAAAAATTACTTTTACATTCATAGATATTTTTTTCAAGCATGGTAGAAGTAGTCACTTTGTATTGCATTCTGTAGATAGTAACTAGCAAAACACAGTTGTAGTCCAAGGCAAATGCTTGTTTAAATTCCCTGTATTAGTTAACAAGTCTATTTTCTGGAGCTCTTGTCTTTAGCTTTCAGCTGTATTCAGTAAAGATGGAAGATCTTAATTAGATTTAGGTGAATCTTTGTAGTTATGGTAGAGTATGACTTTTCAGAGAAGAGCCTGGGAGGAACAAAGGAAACACAGTTACTTGTGCTTATGGAATAGAAGGGATATTGATATTCGGGTCTCTTTGTTGTTGTTGGCTTTGGTGCTGGGTATTAGGTTCAGGGAAGGGCTGTTCTGGACTCCCGAGGCTTACCCCCAGTCTGGATACGTAATCCTTGCTCTTGGGTTTGTCGATTTTATAAATGATATCAGCATATTTTCATGGGATTAGATCACAGCTATATTGATTATAATATGCTTCCTGGTTGTGGGGTTGTCAAAATGTGTAAAATTGTGCCTTGGATTTCATGAACTTTGATACTTGAAATCTGTAGATAATTTAAATTAAAAAGTTGCACTTATTCACAATTACTGCATTGTTTGAATCTAGTGAACAACCTTGATTTTTTTCATTTGGGTTATGTTTTGAGCACATCTGTAGTTAGCAACATGATTTAATCTTAATAACATAAGGCATCTTATTAGTAATGTTTTCAAACTTTTTTTTTAACCTTTAATGTCAGTTGTGTTAAACATTTTACTTTGAAAAGAAAATATCAGCTAATTTAATGTTTTTTCCTGTCCTTCTCCTGTACATCTCTTCTGACTTTCCTACTGCTCCCAAGTGTAAAGTAACCGGGGAAGAGACAAGGGTAGTGAGAGAAAGGGCAAGAGGCAAGCTGCAGGGGAGAGTTAGGTTGTGACTTTGCTCACTCTGTCTCTGCTGGACTTGCTGGTTTGTAATCACCAGGCAGTACTTGGGGCCCACTTCCTGATACTCTCTCTTGGATGAACAAAGACTAGACCTGCTTTTTAGCATGGAGCTTTATGTACAGTTAGGGAAATAGAAGTTTATCGTGTGTGTGAATGCACGAGCGCACATGTGCATGTAACACAGAGTTTATTATATAGCCCGGGCTTCCCTGGAACTTTTAATTTGACTTCTGAACACTGAGATTACAGGTATGTCTTAACTTTGCTTGGTTTCAGAAAAAATTAATTCTATTTTATTGAAGTAGTACAAACAAAATTATTTAAAATGTCATTGAATTAAATTTTAGTAAGCAGATTGGGAAATAAATGTATATCAGAAAAAACATTTTACTAATAAAGGGAGAATTTGAGAATGCACAATAGCTTTATCTTTTTGTTTGTTTGCTTGTTTTGAAATAGTCTTTCTACATATCCTAGGGTTATCTCCAACTTTTATCTTCAGAGTCTGGAGTTGTAGGATTGAAGGCATATGCCAGCATGCTAGCCAAAAAATGTCTACTTTCTATAAGTAAAGCAGAGAAAGACAGAAGAATGCCCTTCAGTACAGGGTAGTTTATTTTGGTAAAAATCTCGTATACTGAGGTGGCTGGGAATGGTTGTACAGACTGCTGAAGAAATGCTTTGGGCACGTGGAGAAATGGCAGATACACTCATTTTCAGTGTCTCTTATGGGGAGCAGAAATAGCTAAGGCTGTATGATATGACCCTGGGCTGTGGACAGTACTCATTTGCTTTGAAATGAAGCTTTTGTTTACTTTTTTAAAAAAAATTTTTTTATTGAAAAAATTTCCGCCTCCTCCCTGCCTCCCATTTCCCTCCCCCTCCTCCCACTCCTCTCCCCCTCCGTCTCCAGTCCAAAGAGCAGTCAGGGTTCCCTGCCCTGTGGGAAGTCCAAGGAGCACCCACCTCCATCCAGGTCTAGTAAGGTGAGCATCCAAACTGCCTAGGCTCCCACAAAGCCAGTTCATGCAGTAGGATCAAAACCCAGTGCTATTGTCCTTGGCTTCTCATCAGCCCTCATTGTCATTGTCCGCCCTGTTCATAGAGTCGGGGTTTTATCCCATACTTATTCAGTCGCAGTCCAGCTGGCCTTGGTGAGCTCCCAATAGATCAGCCCCTCTGTCTCAGTGGGTGGGTGCACCCTTTGTGGTCCTGACTTCCTTGCTCATTATTTGGATCTTAAGAGCTCATTCCGGTGCTCCAATTTGGGTCTCTGTCTCTGTCTCGATCCATCGCCAGATGAAGGTTCTAAGGTGATATGCAAGATATTCATCAGTATGGCTATAGGATAGGGACATTTCAGGTTCCCTTTCCTCAGTTGCTCAAGGAGCTAGCTGGGGGCATCTCCCTGGACACCTGCGAGCCCCTCTAGAGTCAAGTCTCTTGCCAACCCTAAGATGGCTCCCTTAATTAGGATATATATTTCTCTGCTCCCATATCTACCCTTCCTTTATCCCAACCATCCCATTCTCACAAGCTCCCCCCATCCTCCCCTTCTCACTTTTCTCTCCCCATCTCCCCTTCTCACTTTTCTCTCCCCATCTCCCCTTACCCCTATCCCACCTCACCCCCAAGTTCCCAGTTTTTGCCCGGCAATCTTGTCTACTTCCAGTATCCAGGAGGATAACTATATGTTTTTCTTTGGGTTCACCTTCTTATTTAGCTTCTCTAGGATCACGAATTATAGGCTCAATGAAATGAAGCTTTTATTGTGGCGAAATTTCTTTTTTTCTCTCTTTTTTCCTTTATTTTTTTTCCTTTTTCTTTTTTTAACTTTGAAAATCAGAAAGAGGAGGTTTATTTAATGTAGCCACATTGGGAAAGGG